TGTTTTGGACCCTATTACCAAACAATCTAGTTTTTCTATGATTTTAATGAAACATTAATTACAATTCTAAGATGACAAAAAATGAAGTACATATCACATCCCATCTCTTATGTATACAAAATTTTTGATGATTTGATGTAAAGGAATAAAATGTGTTTAATCAGAAATACCGACAACTTGACGTAAAAAAGGAATTAATGCATACAAATTTGCGAAACACTTTAACACATTTTATATTAGTTGAGAGTTTACTACTTGTCTACTTTAGAAAAAAGAAAAAGAAAAAGAAAAAAAAAGGAGGAATATATGTTCATAGCGAATAGCCAATAATGACTACCATCATTTCCGATAACTATGATTTAATGGAAAATTGATTAATATTTGAAAGAAAAAAAAATGGGGAGAATGGCATTTTTTGCAACTATAGGAAAATATCAATTTTGTCTCTTATTTATAACTATTCTCACTTTTTCTTATCAATTATTTGTGAAGTGATTTTTTTCCCGTATGTGAGTTGACTGAGTTCTATTAGGGGGTGTTTGGTTGGATGGAAAATATTTTCTATGGAAAATGTTTTCCTAAAAGTGAAGAAAAATGATATTTTATGTTGTTTGGTTGAATGGAAAACATTTTCCATTGGAAAAAGTTTTCCTTAAGAACAAAGAAAACAAATTCCTAGCTTATGTTAGGTATTTTGTTTTCCATGGAAAACTAATATGACAATTTTACCCTCACCATTCTTTATTAATTACTCTTATTATTATTATTTTATTATTGTTGTGTAGGGTTATATTTGTCATTAGATTCATTATTCCTTACCATTCCAAACTCAACCAAACAATGGAATTCATATTCCCAGTAATTTCTTTTCCACCAACCAAACAATGGAATCTGTTTTCTTGAAATTTATTTTCCATGGAATTTCAATTCCATTTCCCTTCAAATATTTTTCAGCGAACCAAACGAGCTGTTATAGTTGGGTTAAAAAGAAAAAAAAAAAAACAACTTTCTTATGCAATAATTAAGAAACAAAAGAAGTTGTCTGCATGGCAGCTCAACTGGTCGTTGGAAAGAATGACCAGGGATCGAGTCTCACTAGCGGTAATGTGGGAGCAACCTCTTAAAGTGAGGGAGGCTCCTTAATATAGCCTCATGTGGGAGCAACCTCTTAAAGTGAGGGAGGCTCCTTAATATAGCCTCTATGGTTCATGTTCATTGAATTACCATGATTTACATCCTCATGCTCTGTCGGGCTGGAGTGTGGGGGCCCTTAGGGTTGGAGAAGTCACTTTTTAAGACAATTCAAATACTAATAGTAGTGATGATATAATTGAGGAATGAAAAGTAGTACGTATATCTATATTGCAATGTAAAGTACTTCTATAATTGAGGAACGAATTTGAAGTATAATTTGCCGAATTGTTATATCATGGACCAAGATCCACCTTGCATTATGAGTCTTGGTCTAATAATTATGTGTCTACGCCTCTATGGTTAATATATTACGTGTCTTCAGTTAATAAATTGTGTCTGTAAATAAATTGAATATATTTAGTTAATCTATTATTTGTCCATAGTTAACCTATTATGTGCCTTCAATTTATATACATGAACATATTCTGTTAACTATAGACACATAAGTTAAATGTCATTTTGAACTAGGATTCACAATGTATAATTTGTCTCATTTGCCTCCCTCGATTCGATTGTTTTACCATGGACCAAAGTCCACTGTACACCCTAGTCTAAAATGGCATTAAAATTATGTGTGTCTTTCATTATCATATTATATACTTGTAAAGACATGATCTACAATACAAAATGGATAATGGTCTAGGGTATAATTTCCCGCAAATTATATCGTGCACTAGGGAGTTTATGTATATTATGTTTAGGGTTTATGTGTATTATGTATTATGTTAGGAGTTTATGTATATACGAAACAATAAATTTTTAGGGTGCACAATACACCCTGGTGCACGATATAACAATGCATAATTTGCCCCTCGATTTTCATCATTATTGCGTGGACCATGGTCCATACAAGTTGTGTGGACCATATTTTGTCTACTGTAAAATAATGTACATTCAGTAAAAATAATAGCATTCAATACAAAAATAATATACATTATATTCAGGAAATGTATATTATTTTTAAGAATAAGGTTCAAATTGGCCACTGAACGTAACCTGAAAATGCAATTAGGCCACTGAACGAAAAAAAGTGCAATTAGGTCATTGAACACTCAAAAAATGTGCAATTAGGCCACTGAACTCTCCAAACATATGCAATTTTACCGGATAGCAGGTTACCATCAATTTTAGCAGGTTACCTGCTTACGTGGCAGCTTAGTTGTCATTTTTAATAATTTTTAAATAATTTTTAATAATTAATTTTAATAATAAATTTTATAAAAAAAATTAAATAAAAAATAAAATAAAGTCGTTTTTATTTTTTTAAAAAATTTTTTAATAAAAAGTTATTATTAAAATTTATTAAAAATTAATTAAAATTTATTAAAAATGCCAACTCAGCTGCCACGTAAGCAGATACCCTGCTAAAATTGAGGGTAACCTGCTATCAGGTGAAATTGCACATTTTTAGAGTGTTCAGTGGCCTAATTGCACTTTTTTTTCGTTCAGTGACCTAATTGCATTTTCAGGTTACGTTCAGTGACCAATTTGAACCTTATTCCTTATTTTTATTCTGAGTGTACATTATATTATATAATGTATATTCAATACAAAAATAATATACATTTAGTATATTAAAAATGTACTTTTTGTTATGTACATTATATTTGCCCCTCGATTTGATGGGGCTCAAAAGTGGGCTTTCAAATCCAGGGTTTCAAGACTATAATTGGGCCTAATAGAAGACTATAGTGAGCTTTCAACTTTTCACATTTTGAGATTTGTAATTATTGTTAACTTTAGTGGCAATAATGTAATATCATTAATTCAGCCATTAATTGCGGGCAGAAAAAATGACTGTCCTAGTTTTAAGTGCCATAAACGCCGCCGCGGTTTCTAGTTTTCCGCGTGTTGAGGTCGTCGAAATCGCCGGCCTTTCCATTAGCGACGGCGAGACTGTGCGCGGAGATCAGGTCAGCTCGGTTTCCTCTCAGCCATGGATCACGAAGGCGATTTCGGAGATGACAGAATGGTAACGCTTCCGCACATTTCTCACCTCCGTTTTTTAATTTCCTTCCATTTGCACAAGTCTTCTGCATCAATTCTATTCCAATTCTGGAATTCATCATTTGATCTTCAATTCTTTTGCGTACGGAACGATATACGTATGGACTCTGTGTGTTTCTGTAATTTGACCCCGATTTCTGTGGTGTGAACTTGTCCGAAATTTGCAGAAACTAAGTACTGTAATTACTTGATAAAATTACTGGAATCTTTTGAAATGACTGAGAACAGAATGAATTGAAGCTTTTGTTTGGCCTAACTCTGGCAATTGGATCTCAGTAGTTTACTTCATATAAAGCAAATTGCTGGTTTGCAGGTTTTGATGACTTAATTGTTTAGGTTTTGAAATGTGATTTGTGGAAATGCAGCTATTTCTTGTTGGTAGGTAGTACTGCTTGTTATGATGAATTAAACTGAGCAAATTCCCCCTTTGTTTTGGAAGTCAATTTTGACAAATTTTCATGTCATGCAAAACTTGACTCTTTTATCATATTGAAGATGTTAACTAAAATTTCTGCAAAGTTTTTTGCTCCTGGTGATGTTCAGTTTCAGTTTTAGACAGACAATACATTATACATAGAGTTTGGTATTTAGGCACTTAAAATTTTATCATTCTTCAAATATTTTGCTAAATGGATCTTTTTCTAATAGAGCGGATTGTGTAAATTGCCATATCTTGGTATGATCTTTCATCTAATAGCTTGGTTCAACGTTCCTTGTTTTAGTTGCTTTGTATTTGTGCAAATTGTAATTATCATGTCCTTTTGCTTTTTATACACATTATTCTGCCAAAGCAAAAGGACTTGGTAGGCCAGGCCCTACATACAAATGAGCACATCATGATTTACTCAATCCAAGAGAGATTGGATTACGTGCCTAAGTAATTTGGTTTCAGCTTGAGTTCTTCTTTGGTTTTGATAGTATGTGATAACCAATCTTCCTATCTTAATGGTGTTTTTCAACATATGAACATTAATACTGTAAACATACCTGGAATCCCCCATTAGCCAACAGCTTTTACTAACTATTATGAAAAAGGTGGGTGCTGTTTTAGATCCCCAACTCCTTGGGTGCACATTTTTTGGGCATAGATTATGAATACATAATGTCACATGTGTTGTTATTTGGAATTGCTAGAGAATGTGATCTTTTTCATCTGTTGGACATGCAGGGAAATGTGCCCCAGGACGTTAAAGGATTCAACCCAGGACTGATTGTCTTACTTGTTGTTGGTGGGCTAGTTTTGGCATTCCTCATTGGAAATTACTTCCTCTACATGTATGCACAGAAAACCCTCCCTGCAAAGAAAAAGAAGCCAGTCTCCAAGAAGAAGATGAAGAAAGAAAGACTGAAACAAGGTGTTTCAGCACCCGGGGAATAGATATGCAACAGAAGCCCAGGAGTATTCCATTTTGGTGTTTAGTGGCTGTGTGAATCTCTGTTAAAACTTATTTTTCCCTTTCTTGATGAACAAATATTGTGCCTTTTACTTATCACCTTAGACAGAACTTGGCTTGAGTTGGAGCAAAATGTGTTTTCTTTGCTTTCCATTATTGATTTACTTCTAGCATACTATTATTGCAACCTAAGTTATACTGGCTAGGGATCAATTCCAACCAAATTGATCAGGATATTGACTTAATAACCATAAGGTTCCAAGTTGTAGTTTGAACTGATTAACTATGGATAACTTAGGTCAGTTTACCTCCTAGTAGTCTTTTGTCAGCTAGGGTCAAAAGACAAGGTTTACCTAGCGGCTAACGCACATTCTCGAGTAGTGATTACTGGTTTTCCTTGTCATCAAAAAAGAAAAGAATTACACAGGCCATGAAAGAGGCCAAAACTATACTTTTGATCATTCATTAATCAAAAACTCAGGGCATACAGGGACAGATCCAGAGAGATAAATACAGAAGCAATTAAGAAGTGTAATGGGACTCCATACAGCACATACAGAATTTGGGGACTGGTTTTTAGCGTCCCATTGTCTGCTCCATGGGTGGGAGCATGACCAAGATTGGTTGCGCTTGCGCATTATACCCAGGATGAGTAATTCTACGACGAACTTCGCGACCTTCCTGACAGATGGCACAAGGGTGACAAATCACATGAGTTGCAATGTCGAAAGCAGATTCGCACTGTTCGCGTTTCAACTCATCCTCAAGAACCCCACTGGTGCATCCAAATATTCTGGTCAGCGTCTCGTAGCTTCCCTGTTAATCAAACTAGTTTCAGATCCTTTACAAATGAAACTCTAAGCATCAATAAAAGCAAAACATCCAATTCGTATGAATCCCTTTCAGTTCGTGCTGGAGCTATAAACTAAACATAACCTTAGAGAGAACAAAGTTATACACTTTATTGTTCAGACAGCATGACTTCATGATCGGATCTCAAGTTGCGCTATGAGGGTAAATCCCATTATCCCACCACATCCCGAATACTCAGAAGAGATATAATGTATTCGTTTGCATATATACAACAGACATAACATGATCCATTCGTTTGCATATATACAACAGACATAACATGATCCAAATTCATTAAAAGTCTAAGCTGATAGTTGGATTGCATATCATTCAAATACCCACAAGGGCGTTCATTTCACACCGCATCCACATTAAAGTATGAACGAGATTCAAGATCACAATCAATGCATTGGATACAAAGATGCAAAGGAATAAAGGAGACGATAATGTACCTCCAAATTGAACTTCCGGCGGATAGCTGTACGGCTATGATACGAGTACCAGGGAGCCAGGATGTTCATATGAAAACATGAATCCCCAATGAGGTATAACGCCGTGTAAGGCAAGCAGTGAGCTGTGAAAGTGCCGGAAGCAGGTGCAATCCTCTCGACATTGCTTCCATAGAGCACACAAGGAGCCACACCTCCCAATACACCTGATCATAACCATGGCAAAAGGACTCAAATACGGGAAGAGCCGAAGAGGATAACCGAGAAGCCTCAAATGAATGCATGATCTCAACTTAATAACGATCTCACCAAGGCCAATTGGTATTCGATCCAATAAATAATACGGGCGGAAAGATTCTTACACAAGGAATATGTTATATGTACAACCAAATAACAATTACTGGAAATTGGAAAAATGCTCAAAATTTCCAAACATCAAGGGAAAATCATTAACATTGCAGTTATCAAAGAACATGATCATTAAGATTGTCTTCCTGTGTGAATCATCAATTTATGAAATACTATTTCATCAAGGACTAAAAATTGAATCTTTAACACAAATAAAAATCATTTGCAGCAAAAAAGAAATTATAAATTTTGACAATGGAGAACAGTAAATAAATCAAACAGAAATAGAAAAACTCACAAACTTCAAGATCGCTGCTCCAGAAATCATCATTTCTCCCAAGACAAGAGCAGAGGCCCGTATCCCACTCGGCCCGACGATTAACCGGCTCACCCATCACGCCGGGACCCACGGGGAGGCCCTCGGCCGTCCAACCCTCCGGTGGTTGCTTCTCCGATGTCGCTGGAGGAGCTGGATCCGCCGTTACGGTGGCTGACGAGGGTTTTTCCTCCGGAGAAGAAGTGGCGTCGGATGATTTACTGTCATTGTGTTCTTCAGGTTGTTCTTCAAAATTGGCCATTGAAACAACAGTTTTCGAGGAATACAAATATATATAATCTAAGAGTATTGAAAAAGCCGATGATCTAAGAGGTTTTAATGTATATATATGTGTGTATGTACAAGAGATTCACAGAAAGCGACAACCTCAAAGATCGATCTGTCTTTCTGCGAAGAACGGAAGTCTCCGTTATGTTTAGGTACATACCGTGTCGAACGTGAAGCTCGGGCGTTCATCACTTCTATCATCACACAATTTTGAGACTTCAATTCATTTCAAACAAAACAAATTTCATGATCACTACTTAAAAATGTGATCCATATTATTTTATAATCTTAACTCATATATGATAAATGATTAATAATAATAATAAATTGATCTAGATTTCAACCCTTAATAATTCCGTAATTTATATCGTGGACGCTTGATCAAAATGTCGTCGTTTTGATATTTAAGTTTTAATAGATATTGTAATTTCTCGTTTCTCATATTTTAACACAAATTTTAATTTTAAATACAGAATCGATACTCTTAAGATATAGAATTTCATAACACAATATACAAAAACTTACAACGTAACGCAAGATAAATACACATGTTATATATTTACTTATTCTCAAATCTGATTTATGTAGATAATATATGTCCTATAGGCACATAATAATTTCATAATACAATGCATAAATTCGTAAAATAAAACAAACAATATATTGTATGTTACACAACTACTAATCTATTTCAGTTACAGAGTCCATACGCTTAAGGTACATAATTGTATAACATGAAACATATAAATGCGTAACACAAGACACATACACATGTTTTATATTTACTTTAGTTATGTTCAAGTACAGAATCAATATTCGTAAAGTACAAAATTGCATAACACAAGACACAAAAATGCATACTACAAGACACAAAAATGCATGTTATATTTACTTTATTTTATGTACAAAATTTATACGCTTAAGGTACAAAATTACATAACATAACAGATAAAAGCGCATAACACAGGACACATACACATGTTTTACAATATTAAAAAAAAAAAAAAAAAAAAAAAACTTGTAACGTAAATACCGCCAAAATATTAAAATTTAAAATTACGTGGATAACAATACTAATAACCCCTATTACTGAATTATTACTATTTCGTTTTTGACCCAACAATTTATATGCATTTGTATCAATCTGATTTTATTTTTAATTTTAACATTCGAACCTTATAAGATGAAACTAATATAACTAAGTATTGGTTACGAGTTCGAGCCTCAGTGGAGGTGTTATTGGTTCTTTGTGTTTCAGTAGATTGAGAAAGTATATGAACAGATACTACAATGTAATAGGGCCAGTAACATTCAAAAAAAAAAAAAAAAGTATTGGGTAAAAGCTTTTTTTTTTTTTTTTTTTTTTTTTTTTCGAAAACCAAACCAAATCATAGAATATATTAAACCATAATAGTGTTTGTACATAAGGAAGCAGAAATAAAAATAGGAATAGAGTCAAAACACTCAATTCTATTCTCCCATGTACACTGAAGCGCATGCTTAGCTAAAACATGAGCCACCATACATGTTACCATTACGAGGCACAAATTAGAATTCAGTCAAAGGCATTTGGCGTAGCAGCTCACATATCTCGTCAATAATGAAGTAGAAAGGCGTAATATTCGTCCGAACATGACCGCATGGATAACAATATGGGCGTCTGTCTATAAGATAACCCTTTAACATCCTATCTCCTTTATCCAACTCAACGCTTCCCTAGCCCTTATAGCTTTTGCTTTGCGAACCGTATACAAACCCCTCTATTATAAATCAGGAAACTATCTCTTTAGCATTTGGATCATTTTCGTGTTTAAACAAATAAATCTATTATAAGTTATTTAATATAAAATATTAATTATTTTAAATTGATAAGTGTAATAATTATGAACTAAAAAATTGAAAGAAAGAAATAGTAAAAAGTTGATTTTCTTAATTTTTTTTGAGTTACGAGTTGGGTTGAGAAAATTTTTCCTATTTAGCCAGATACTATCTAGGTCAATCCAATATTGCATGATATATGAGTTTTTTTTTTTTTTTTTTTTTTTTTTTTTTTTTTTTAACTTTTGGTCAGAGAATTATTGGACCATTTTCATATTTGATTTTCGACTATTAATTTTTCATATTTGGTCTTACAATTTTTAAAATATTATCACATTTGATCTTATGGGCTAAGTTCTGATCATCAATGACCAAATTTGTATCTTTATGTTATTGAACATGAGTGCATAATAATCAATTGATTTATCTTGAACTACAAAGTTGTTATTTTTATGACATTTTTCAACTAAAAAATGTGATCGCCAGTGATAAAAAATTATGCCGGATGATTGGTCTATTCATTTGACACCACTCAAAGAACGGAAGGAGAGAAAGAGAGTCAAGCGTAAGAGAGGGATTCTAAAAACGTTTTCCAAATAAACATCTCAAAATACATCAAAATGAGTATTTTTGTTAGCTTTTATTTTATTAAAATAACTAGAACTATATACTAAAAAGTCATTTTTTGAAGTTATTTTTTGAGTGATAAATTAAACGGTTTAATATTATAACTACAATCTATTCAAATGATATCTAGTGACAGATTTTTTGGACGTATAGACATTTGACTCCGTTTATTGAGCTACAATATTATCATAATTTATAGGAAAAATGACACTTTTTACCCATGAGTTATATACTTATAGCACTTTTTCCCCCTCAATTATTTAGGTAAGCACATTAGCCCCCTCAATTATTCTAAAAGTGGTGCTTTTTCCCCCTAATATATTAAATTGACATTTATACCCTTAGAGTAAACATTTTATTTATTTTACTACTCCAACAAATTATTGCGTATACGTAGGGATGACCACGGTTCGGTTTGAATTGAACCGGATACTAAAGCAATCGAATTAATAGTTTCTGGTTATAATTCGGATCTAGAACCCAATATTTAAATGTCAATTTATTAAAATTATGTATCAAAAAAATTGAATCTTGAACCGTGAACCGGCAGTTCTGGATCCGATTCGCGATTTTGAACCGTCTTTATTTTAACATTTTATTTTTTATTTTAAAATAGTCTACATTCAACAATAAATGTATTTTATTTTTTGAGTACGGAACATGAACCGTCCGTTCCGGTTCACGATTTTAATAAACTCTAAATATCGAATTTCGATTCTAAATTGTAATTGGAATATTTCGGTTTGGTTGCTATAGTGTTTGTTTGGTTTGAACCAAATTATGGTCATAATTTGTTGGAGAAAAAAAAATTAAATATTTAATTTAAGGGTAAATATGTCTATTTAACATTTTAGGGGGAAAAACAGCCACTTCAATAATTTAGGAAAAAAATATACTATAGGTATATAACTCAGGAGAAAAAGTGTCATTTTCCCTAATTTATATTCTCTTAAATATTTTATCCGACTGAAGTGTGACAGATTTTAGAATTAGAGTTTCCCTTTGAGAAAGATATTCTAGAGAATCATATCGTTATAGTACCCCCAATAACCTATCTTAAATATAACATAATTCATTTTAAATGTGTTTTCCCTTATCGAAGTGATGACACTTGGAGGGTACATTTCACAATAAATATTTTGCCTTTTTCCTGGCATGAATGAATCATCAATGCACAGCAAGTTGGTTGAAATTTAATTATTTATAAACCCCTACCTGCCTCACTTTTAGGTCCCTTTTCAATTTAATCACAATTCAGATGATATATTTTAATTTTAATTTTAATTTTTTAATTTTATAGTATTCAGTTAACTTTAGGAATAATTCATTAACTATTGTTATTTACTTATTTATCAATTTTTATTGTTCAACTTTCGGTTGAATTATAAATGATCCATTGACTATTGATCTTTACTAATTTTTGTCTCGATTTTCAATTTAATTATAAGTAATCTCTTGACTATTAACTTTTTTTTTTTCACATTTAGTCCTCTAATTAAATATCTTTTTAATAAACATTAAATTTAATTTGTCAATCTCAGCAATAAGCTAATTTTTATATTATTATTTTTAAATTTAATGTTTATTAAATAAATATTTAATTAAATGACCCATTTGAAATAAAATCAATATTTAAACTTAATTATTTTGCGTCTGTAATATCAATAAATCTCGTGTGTATTTCATGATGAGTATTCACAATTTGTGAAGCAGGTTTTGTTCTCATTTAGATATTTATGTGATCGAGTTATTATTTTCTTTATTTATTTGAATCAAAATTTTAAATTCAAATTTCACACCATATATATATATATATATATATATATATATATATATATATATATATATATACGCTTATCTGCATACGCTTATCTGATGAGTATTTGTAATTTCTAAACTTAGATGAAAATAATTTGTAATTTCTAAACTTAGATGAAAATAATAATATTATTGAACGTAATTAAAGTACGCACTTATGAATTTTTTTGAGTGCTACTAGCTCTATTAGATTATAGTATCTGTTCATATACTTTCTCAACCTACTGAAACACAAAGATGAGCTAATAACACCTCCATTGAAGCTCGAACTTACAACCTTCCAAATACAAGTCCAACCCGGATACCATTAGACCACATAGTCCTAGTATGCACTTATGAATTTGTAGATAAATATAATGATTAATTGTAAGCTTGTAACCATAAATCTATAAGTAAGAATGATCATATTCTCTTCTAAAGATGATCACAAACCAAATAATTAATGGATGTGAATATATGATCCATTCTCTTCTATTCCAAGCAAATTTAATTTTGCAAATTTATAAATAATTCACTAGTAAAACATAACAACAGTACAACAGCAACAAAGAGCATTTGATGATTTTTATAATTACACTAATTAAGGTATATATATATTAACCTTAATTGTATTAGTTGGCTTCTGCAAACTCTTCTCTCTAAGCACATAGCCACTCAGATCAACTTCTTCATCCAAACCCTATCATTTTCTTGATGACAATATATTGATGCCCGTCCAATTCACTTGCCATATTTCTTCTCCTACAAAATCATAAATCCGGCTTAAAAAGTGTTAGGTGTAATATATTATAACAATAAATATACAATCCAACTATTAGTTTAACTTAAATGGAGCAAAGAAAAATGGACAAAGAAAATTTGAAAGATATGAGATTATAATGAGAATATATGAGGATGCAGGCAACACCACCAAGTTGGTTAAGCTGTCGGTTTAATGACCCTAAAAATCTAAATTCGACTCCAGCCTATTAATTAAAGTAACATATTGACCTTATTGATTATTGAGCCGATCAGGACAACTTAAACTAGTTTATTTCTTTTGCATATTATGTTAGGGTTAGATTTACCCAATGTATACCTTTAGATAGTCGTTACTGTTTCCTCATCATCCAAAAAGAAAAAAGAAAAAGAAAAGATGTTATCTATATCTTACATTATGTCCATGATGACTAGAATTGAAACGACGTTTGTGACGCGCCACCATGCTTTGTTGGTGATGAATGATGTTGCGGTGGCGGCGGCGGCCGCCTGATCTCTTGGGAGGAGGGACAGTGGTGTGGGTTTCCGGGCCACGGTAGTCAATATCATAAACCACCGGACTACTACCTGATCCGTGGTCGGAGAAACAAGGCCCGACGAGGAAGAGGAAGAGGAGGAGAAAGAGTGCGCAGGTTGTCTTACTGATGAGAGCCATGGTCGGAGATATGAAAGGGAGGAATTGAATGGCAATGAAGAATGGTGTTAAAGAGTAGAGGAACATTGCACAAACTTATTGGCAATTCAAAACCGTCCCCATCGATACAGCCATTACTTGCAAGGTCTTGATGTGGAAACGTGTTATGTGACTTATATCTTGGATGCATATATGCTCAGATCAGATCACACATTTCATTCATTCCAATCACTAAATAACTTTTAACTCCTTTCCCTTTAATTATGATAATTCAATTTGATGGTGTAATGTTGTTTGTATCTTCTTCCCCAAAAGGTTTAATCCCCAACCTCAAGAGTCTCCATCCCCCACATTTCGGCCCGACAAATCAGAACATTTGGGATGATGTAAATCAAGGTGTAATTCAATAACTTAGCAGACACGACTAAATGCTGGTGTGCACAAAGGATCTGTCCATTTTGAACATAATCCTTACATTGTTACTGTCGAGGTTCAAACATTTAGGATTTGTATTGCAGATGAAGGCTTTAATTTGTTGTGTTGGTGAAGTATGAGACTCTTGTAACATAGAGTGAATCTTAAATCACACTTCTTTTACCACTCTCCATTTAAGTCTAGAATTTGCATAACAAATGGAGGTTTTGTTGCGTTGGTAAAATATAAGACTCTCGTGACATAAAGTCAATGTTAAATCACACCCCTCTTAATAACACTCTCCAATTAAATTTAGAATTTGCATAGCAGACAAAGGTTTTGTCATGTTGGTATGAATAAAGTTAAGAGATTGAACCCATAAAAAGCAAACATTTTAGAGCATCCACACTAGGAGTTATTTCTACATGAATTATCTCAAGTCAAAATTAATAGCTGATGTGGGAAAGGGTTATTTCAAAAATATTTGCCCAGCAAAATATGGCATGCATAATGTCAGAAAAAAAAAAAATTAATAAAGTAGGCAGTGAGACGCAGTATGAGACTCTTGTGTTTATTTCAATTCTTCAATTTTTCTTTTTACTAGTTTCCTATTATCCCTTCTCTATTTTTAAATTGAAGAAATATACAAGTAATGCATTCATTGTTTCTCTTTCTCTAACTTCTCATTTCTCAATAAAATTAAAGAACAGGAACAATTATAGCCAAATTGGTCAATAAGTTAACTTAGTGACTATAAATTTCAAGTTTGAGGTTAATTTACATTCTTGTGGTCATTTGTTGGTTAGGATTACAAGAACATCAGAGAATTTCATTGATTATTAGTAAATACTTACTTGTCTTAGTGGAATTAGTTAAAATTTGGTTAAGGATTATAACTATATACAGGGTACAGAGGACATTCCCATGTGTTTATAATTGAGATATGTTTTAGAGGGAATCCCATTTAGCAGACCCTTTGACTAGACTTCACAGCAAAAAACCAAATCCATGAAACTGATTTGGTGGCTGCTTCATAAACCATAATTGGTGGATGATTACTATCCAGTTATGATCCTAGAAAACACCAAATTCTGGTAGGTTCTATGATTAAAAAGTTTAATTAAGGCTGTTTAATTAAGCATATATGTATGCTTCATCAATTCAAAAATTATGGGTAGGTGAGTAGTAACATCAACTTAGTGTATGATTGATTGATGATAAGATGATGTTGGCAAAACATTTCATAAGGCACATATCATGTTATGTTACTCAACGGTTGAATTGAATATGTAGACCAACCATGTATGTGTGTGTATATATATAGTTGCGTTCAAATGAGAATCACTTCCCAAGTGAGAACGTGAGAACTAATCTTGTGCATTCGTTGTTTTTATTTGGATGGTCTAGATTTGTTTAGATATAAATGTAAATGAGGAACCTAACCTCGTAATCGCGGAAATTTTAAGACCTTCCAAATATCCCTAGCCATAGTCTTTGGTAGCGTACATGCCATCAATGTAGGTAGATATTCAGTTAAAGCTAAAGCTAATGCCTAACAGACTAAATCATTAACTAACTTAATCTTTACTTGCACCATAACCACTTAATTAATACAATATATTATAATATTTTATATTAGAAAAAATACTTACATTGATCTTTTTTTTTTTTTTTTGAATACTACTTGACTCTGATATAAATGTAATATCTGTTCATAACCATAACCTCTCATTTGGTCAATTTAGCTAAGGTGAGCAATGTGAATTGAGGACCACACAAGCATTGAGTGGTCTACTTCAATTCATATATATATATATATATATATATATATATATATATATGTATGTATATATATATGTATGTATATATGTGAGAGTGAGTGTATTTGTGTAGTGTATGGTACAACTGTTGTAAAGGTATCAAACCCTGGCAGACAACTATGTTAATAGGATCATAAATACACACTTCAATTGTTCTGCAGGTTTGGGATGAGCATTGGGTCGATTAAGGCTGCCAAAACTGATAAGTTTGACACTCATTTAATATGAGGTTCAAGATTTATTCTAATCATTATAAGTAATTTTGATTCCACTATATTGTCATTTCTATATAGCCCTTGTTGATAGTTAGACTGCACATCTATGTTAATATATTATTGACCCCATATATATAGGACTTGGTTACTTTTGACGAGCTAGCTCCAATAAACATGTACTTACACACGACCTTTGATATTGGGTCATGTACTTACACACGACCTTTGATATTGGGTTAGCTGTGATACCGAAGTGTTTCATATCAACTAAAAATCTAAGCGGATAGTTGAACTGCATATTTATATTTATATATTATATATGCTCAACATACCTAGCTAACTTAGGGAAAATGAACAATTGGAGAGTTTGTTATCTTTGAAGATCTATTGAAAGTATTAGAATACTTTTGAATTTATATGCGTTTTAAAGTTGAGACTAGGTAGGAAACTTAAAACAGTTTACGTTTCTAAACTATTCTCTAATTTGGTTTTTTTTTTTTTTTTTTTTTTCGTTTCATTACTTTGTTTTTCGCAGTACTAAAAAAACTAGAGACAATATTATTCTTAATTAGTTGTCATATTTGTAATTGAAATTTTAACATGTTGTATTTATATGTTATAATAATAATTGTAAAAAGGAGATAAAGATTGAAATTTGTTAGTTGCACTTGCTAGCATGACTTGACAATTATTTCCATTTAGTTATTAGTCACTTGTTAATTATTGTCCTCACCATTAAATGATCAATTGAAGTCACTTCAATGAGTGTATAAAGATTTAGAAATTGGATTAGATGAAACAAAGATGCATGATATCATGGCTATCCTTTGTTAACATGTTAACAAATTATACTTAATCATAAGATGTCATTATTAACAAATGATGCTTAGGATGATAATCATACTTAATCATCTCTAACTAATTCACGATTTAAAGATATCATATAAATTGAAAAGAGACAGTTTTATGAAGATAAGAGAGTATTTCTAAATTAAAAATTAGTTAGAAATAATTGAAATTTTAATGTGAGTTATTGAGCATATAGTATATAAAAATATAAATGTGTAGTTCATCGACTTAAACTTTTAGTTAGGATAGAACACATTCTTCAATTTGGTATTAGATACAAACACATGCAAAATGTCTGCACAAGTAAAGGACATGTTGAGCACCTTTTATCTCAGATTTTTATTTATTTGAGACAAAGCACATTTTTTCAATTTAAATAAATTGATGAGATGTCATCAAATGATACACGATGATATTAGCTAATGTTACATCCTTTCACAACCAATCTTATATATATCTTAAAGATTTATTGGGACATTTAGTAAATATATTGTATTGTATTGTATGTAGTTGCATATGTAAACCTTTTATAGGGCATTTGGTTGAAGGGAATTTAAATTTACATTCCACTTAATTTTCACCTAATTCCAAAGGTCACAAAATTTCTATGATGTGCATCCGTATGCACCATGCATGGTGCATACGGATGCAAAAACGACGTCGTTTTAATAAAACGCGCGTCTCCCCTTAAAAAAAAAAATCAGGTTCGATTCCCAGCAACAACATATGAACTAAAATTCCATAATCGATGAACTATAATTCCATAATCGATGAACTATAATTCCATAATCGATGAACTATAATTCCATAATCTAATCTATGAACTAAAAATTCCAGAATGAATGAACTAAAATTCCATAATCTATAAACTAAAATTTCAGAATCGATGAACTACAGTTCCATAATCGATGAACTATAATTCCATAATCAATGAACTATAATTCCATAATCTATGAACTAAAATTCCAGAATGAATGAACAATATAATGTTGTTGCTGGGAATCGAACCTGAATTTTTTCTAAACGGGAGATGCGCGTTTTTTAATAAAACGACATCGTTTTGGCATTCGTATGCACCATGCATGGTGCATACGGATGCACAGCATAACGATTGCTTGTTTGGTTGAAAGGAATTGTAATTCCCCCATTTTCATGGAATTAAAATCCCATGACCTTCCCTGTGATTTTAATTCCTGAAATTTTAGGAAGAAAAGAAAATAGTGATGAGTCAAAATTACCCTTCCTTTTTTAATCTAAAATTAATGCCTAACAACAACTATGGACATTTTTTACTTTATACTACTTATTCCCTTTCAATTCCCATGTATACCAAACATTGGAATTAAAATTCCCAGTAATTCTATTCATGTAAACCAAACACTGAAATTTAAATTTCTACTTTATTCACAGTAATTCATCTCCCATGGAATTGCAATTCCATTCCCATGTAATTGTCCCTCTCCAACCAAACGCGCTGTTAATATTTATTTCAATGTCTGATTAGTTATGTCCTAAGAATTAATCGAGTCTTAAAATTAGTCCCCCACTTTGGTGGGTTGGGCATACCCTTCCTGAACTGTCTATGCTATCAGCTTATCTATTTCCCCCGGGACAATTATATATATATATATATATATATATATATATATATATATATATATATATATATAGGCGGGGGGAGGGGTAAGCGAGAACGAAAACAAGCTCATTTGTATAAAGTGCGAATTAATTATATCTGTCTATTTAGGATGATCAAATGTTTAGCATGCCCTTCCTGAGCTGTCTATGCTATCAGCTTATCTATCTCCCCCGAGACAGTTATATATATATATATATATATATATATATATATATATATATATATATATATATATATAGAGAGAGAGAGAGAGAGAGAGGGGAGAGGGGGGGGGGGGGGTTCAAGCGAGAACGAAAACAAGCCCATTTGTAAAAAGTGTGAATTAATTACATCTGTCTATTTAGGATGATCAAATGTTGGAAATTAAGAGAAAAAAATGCGATAACATTTTCATAACTATTATGGTATATTTGAAATTGCGTGATAATATTTTCACAAATAATTGACAGTACACTAGGAGGTGTTTGTTTAAGGTTATTTAAGATTACAAGAGTAATATTTAGTTGGTTGGAGTTATATAACTTTTCCATGGAATCAAATATACCCTCCACTTCATATTTTCCATGAATGAGATTCCCTTGCCTTTTTATTTACTTTATCCTTTAATTTTTATCTTCTCCACATAACATTCTCCTTAAGAATAATAATGATAATAAATTATATTATTATTGTAATGTAATAAATATTTGATCTTTCCATAAGATGCTAAGTAAAAGCACCTTCGGGAAGTGCTTCAAAGTAGCACCGTAAGATGATTAACCTTTCAATAACCACCGAAAGGTTAAGCAATATAGGTGTTGCAATTAAGCACCTTTCATAAGGTGCTTAATTGCAATACCTATGTTGCTTAAGGTATAATAGTCCATCCATGTTATATTTTATTCTCATATATTAAAATACATGACATATGTTGAGGTTATTAAAGAAAATAACTATTATAACATAATCAACAACACTCCAACCAAGCATGTTTATATTACATGCATTAGTTTTAATCAAACACAATAATTTAACATTACCAGAAATTTAGCATTCCCACCAATCTAATATTCCTTAATCTGGCATTCTGTTAATCAAACAACCCCTTAAAATATGTAATGGTGCACTCAATATATGCATTATTAACTATACGCAGATGTATAGACTATTACACAAAAACAAAATTATCTAATGTATACATTCGAATAGTCACTACGAATTTTTTTGGTCACCCAATTATAACAACAACAAATATAGGTATAAGTGCAAGGCCCGCAAAGAAATTTTGGTGTCGATGGTTGGGTCGGTTAGCATTTGAAATGTGTTTGGTAGGCTTAGCCTCATTTAAACAAAAAGCTACTTCAACTATGAAGCCCAATTGGGCTAAACCTCTATACTTTTTTTTTTTTTTCTTTTTTTTGGGGGGTAAGGAAACCTCTATACTTCTATAGTAGGACCACCAAAAATAAAGAGGATCGTACCTCGATCAGTCGATCCCCAGAGTCTCATTGCACTCATTCCTTTTTTTTTTTTTTAATCCTCACGATTCTTTATAATATAGTGAGATGTGTATGAATTGATTTAAAGGGCTCAAATGTTTGTATACTAGTGCCCCTACAACTTGCGAGTTTTGATCGCTAACAAAATAAAATTATCAATTTATTTTGGATTGATTAACTAGTTGAGTTGTACTCCGGGAGCAGGATTATTTCTATATGGTCTAGTTTTATATATTTGATCCAATTAACAAACTTTTATTGAAATTATTTATAATATTTATTATTGTATAGAATATACATATATAAAATATTTAATGAACACAAAAATCGAAATATTTCACTTTCAAACAATAAATAACATGATAAAGATAGTTTTCTTCTTCTCTTTTTAATGGTAAAAAGGAGAGTGGGGAAGAGTTTGTTGGATTCATGATTGGATCAATGTGTGGCGTGTGGAAATAAAATTGGGCAACCCTCAAAAGGATATTATTTTTTTTTTTTTTTAAAGACCTCAAAACTACTCTAAAAGCATAATTTTTGCATCAAATCACATCAAATAAATAGATGTGTAGTACTAATATATGATGCGTTGGGCAAAATAGGTTCGTTGGATACGTAAAATAATTATTGATTTATAGGAATTTTTTATGTTACTATCAATCGCCTTTTGATGCATTATGTAATAATAATTTTTTTTTTTTTGAGAAATGTAATAATCTTTTAAAAATAGTCTTTTAATTTCAAAGACGGCTAGCTCCACCTATTTCTACTCTAAGCATTGATGGAAGAGATAAATTGTAAATTTGTCACATTAGTGTTTGTACATGTGTTTACCAAAATAACAATGAAAAATAATATGAAAAAACTATATATTAAATATATTCATAATGAAACTACCTCACCAATGGAGTGTAAATGAGATGCGTCTCTTCCAACTTAACTAAACATTTTGAAAAGAAATTTAAGATGCGTCTCTTATAACTTAACTAGATGTTTTGAAAAGAAATTTAAAATATAAATAAAATAAAACTATCTCGTATTTAGATTAGATAAGGATGCATTATAATAATCTTTTCTATGGCTTCATGTTTTTAAATCCCCTCTTAAGAGCATCATGTCAAAACTCTTTATCAATAGAATAAGTATTGTTTAATTTGAATTAGATTTATGTAATTAGTTTATTAATTTACGAAGAAAAAAAAAGTATTGAAAATGATAGTTATGTTATGTCTCAAATGTCATATAATCCCTTGAAATTATATTGTAAAGACAATACATAAGATGCCAACCAAAAAACATAACATTATAAATATCCCAATCTTGTCAAAATTCATTTAGCAAAAGTTGATGTCTTGTCTGATAGTTAGTTAGGAAAAGTCCACAAACATGAGAGGCCCTCGAAGATTATCACTTGCTAAAACTATGGGCAAAAAGAGTTATAAATTTTATTTAAAGTGAAGCTAAAACATTCTCCAAACTTTTGTACTGAATTTTGTCTTAAATAATGTGTCTAAATATTATTGATTTTCTGATGAAATAATCAAATTTATGATTATTGTTTTTGGGAAGGAATTGTTTCTGAATGTGGAAATGCTTACCTTTTTTGAGTTTTCATGCATCATCATAGCATATAAGCATAAAATATGATACATACAAGAATATTTTAATAGTGAAAAAAACATATCTACAATATTACATTTAAAATTCGCTAATATTGTTCCTAATAAAGTTCATATACATGACGAAGATGTCTGAATTCAAAACTCTTGCGATCTGTACTAAGATTACTCTCAATAGAGTTCAAATACATGACAAAGATTCTAAAACCCTAAGACTATTGTTACCCCTAAGACTATCCTTAAAAAGTTCAAATATATGACGAAGATTTTTGACTCTAAGGTTCTTGTCACTCAGAACACGTTGAAACTATCCTTAAAAAGTTCATATACATGACGAAGATTTTAGACTCCAAGATTTTTGTCACTCAAAAGACGGTGAGACTATCCTTAAAAAATTCAAATACATGACGAAGATTTTAGACTCCAAAATTATTGTCACTCAAAAGACGATGAGATTGCCCTTAAAAAGTTGAAATACTTGACGAAAATTTTAGATTGAAAACCCGTTATCACAACCCTTGAATTAATTAGCCCCACCATAACCTATCACAAATTTATATAATATTGATTTCACAAAAATGCCAATCAATAAATGGATGAAACCTAATTAACAGCTAGCAAATGAATACTACATGATACCTCAACAACAAAAGAAGAGAGATGCAGACAGAAGCATAGGCAGTCCCAAGAAGTTGAATTTAATACAACCGCAGCAGCACAGTAATAAATTAAGTACAACAAGTGTACAACTATTCAACTTCCCTTGGAGAGTGGGCACACACCTCTTGCCAACAACAACAACGTTGAGACCCTTAAAAACAATTGCTTTCTTTGTCTTTCATCTTTCAGTGTACCAATCAAACCGCCAACTTCCCAACCTTAACATCAATTTCATTAAGATAAGGTTTTCCCATTTCTGTGAATAATAATACACTCAAGATGTTCCTTCATACGGATGTGTGTTGTCTTCTACATCCCACACTTCTCACAAAATGTGAAATTTCCTAAACTCCAGACCCTACACTCCAATCTAACATTTCCTAAACTCCAGACCCTACACTCCAATCTAACAGGATAGTGGAAAGGTAAATCGCAATAATGTGTAGCTAGCAGTTGTCATGGCTCAATTATGTGTACTTATCAAATCAACTGAGTTGTTAGTGCGGGGAAAACAAATAATTATTATCGGGAGTTATGTTGTGTGGTGAACAGAATTGAAACATGTGCTCCATCTCAATTAAAAGTTTCAAATTGATAGTTGAATTGCACAAGCAACAACGTAGACCGTAATCGCTCGTGTGGTCAAACATATGACCTTTTGTCTGGCTCTAAATCTCTAATTAAAGCATGCTCTATCTCAACTAAAAGCCTAAACTGATAATTGGATGGCATATTAATGGTTATATGCTCAACAAAAGTGAAACCAAACGAAATGTTTTACTCACAGACAGTAATTTGCAGAGATGTTTGGGGATGGAAGAAGACAAAAGAAGAGAAAATTACTGGTGTGATATTAGCTACTTGGATGAGGCTCTGCAAATCTTCTTCGCCTCCAGTAACCGGCGTCTGGGTTCAGCCTTTCGCCGCTTCTTGCTGGCTCTGATTTGCACCTTGTTAGCAGCAATGGATGCACTGCGCTTTTCCCGATTGGCTCAACCTTATTTGTCTCCTCTTTTTCTTCTTCTTCTTTCGTTTTGACGTCGTCTGAGCTCGCAGAAGCCTCCGTTTCTTGGGATTTTCTCGGCGAAGAGCTGGGCTTCTCTTCTTGAGGCAAATTCTCGGGTTCTGTTTCGGGTGCTTCTGGTTCGGTGGCGTTTAATGGTGAACCCCAGAATCTGCAGGCTAGGGAGGAAGATCTATACGGAGCAGATCTACAACGGGTCAAGAAGAAAGCGTAGTTGGGCGGTGATGATGAACTACCGACGGTGTTTTCTTTATTTTCCGGTTGAGCTTTACTACCGCCGCCGCAGCGGCGGCCACTACTTGTACTATTGCAGCCGGGTTCTTCTTCCTGGGTCGGAGCTTTCGGGTCGGGCTCGACCCGGGGAGGAGAATCGGTATTGTCGCGTATCTTCCGGCACCCGAACCCGCAGAAGAACGCCCATTTCCGGAAAAACGAAGAAATCGGTTTGGGTTTACCGAATTTCCGCGAAATTCTGCGGCAAAATAGGAGCTTGCGGACCCACCAACAGGGCTGCTGTTTAGAGGTGGTAGAACTAGAAGGCCGTCTGGTTTTCCGGACAGACTTCGAGCGGCTGATTCCGCCGGCGGCGGCGGAGGAGGACTTGGAAGACCTTCTGACTCGGACTTGGCCGATGCAGGTGACCTTAGGAGAAGAAGGTTCCTGAGTGGTTTCAATGGCGACGGAGTTCTTCTTCCTCATAAACATTGGGCTTGAACGCGACCGCCCTCTGCTTCTGCTCCCCGCATTGCTCCTCAGAAACCTCATTAATGGCGGCGGAAACTTGTCCGTTCTCCCCGGACTCGAAATCGGCTTGCTTAATCCCTTCATCTCTCTGTATCTATCGTCTATACACACGAATTTCTCTCTCTCTCTCTATATATATATATATATATACACTCTCTATACAGTGTTGCAGAGACTTTGAGATAAAAGATGTGAAACTGAAAGGATATGTGAGCCTCCCTTCATGCTTCTATTGTAATTGCACCCAAAATACTATTTATAGTCTCATAAACGTTACCCCATCTTTAGCTTTCTTGAAACGTTTTTTCTTTCTAATTAAAAATAAATAAATAAATCCAATTGTTAATTTTTATTTCATTTTTTTAGACTATTATTTTCATAATAGTTTTTGAAGTGGTGGGTTTTGTGTTAGTTCTAATTAATTAATTAATGATAGATATTGTAAATTGTTGCACGGATGGGTGAATCTTGGGGTTCTTACACTTTTGTTTTGTAGGGTTGTGTTTGGCTTTTACATATCTCATATTTTATTTTCGCACGGATGACTCATTTGTCTGCACTAAAGATTTCTACAATAATTAAGTTTGCATTTTTTGTTTTCAACTTTTCGTACATAAAAGTTCAGGCGATGAAATACTATATATATACTATTTTGAGGTAATTTTGCGTTTGTTAATATACATTTTATGGCTTATTATTTAATTTAAAAGATTATAAGATCGGTTGAATGTATTTTAGGGTAGATAAAATATAATTTTACCTTTTAAAAAAAAAATAATTTAACACCTTTTGAGAATTTGTCAATTTTGTGAGAGCTTTATTTATAGTTATTAAATATCATTTTTCACTATTAGAGCATCTTCAATAGTTGTAATTTTTAATAAGTTTTTGCCAGTGTGATTAGGAAAGAGAAGATAGGAGAGAAGAGAAAAAGGAAGAAAAAAAAAAAACAAGTTTGACAAAAAAATTAAAACATAAGTTTTTATGTGCCCAATAGGCACGCAAGGTATGCAAACGCAGGAATAAACAACTGTCATTTCTCCACGCGGGCCCACATGTTTAGTCAAAAAATCTCTCCTCCTGCAATGACCTAAAAGTTTCTCCCTCCTCACCATCTCTCATCCATATAAGCCTTGTTTTCTCAAAAATCACACCAGGATGCATTGCTGGAGATGCTCTTAATCCCTTAAAAGCTTTGAATTTTTTACAATTTTTAATCCTTTTAATGAATATTTCAGGCAAATATGGCCTAAAATTAGCATGTACACAACTTATGTTTGATTGGAATTTGGAAACTCAAAATGACAATAAATTCAAAGTTGAGAACTAGCCGTGGCTTTGATTCTTATCTTGGTCAAATTTACACTATACTTAATGTGAAATATGTAGGATAAAGAATGGACAAATGTGACAGCCAATAAAATGATCCTTTTATAATGGGATTTTTACCCTTTCAAGTTTCAACCCAAAACATTTTCTCTACATGCTCTCTTTTTGGCTATGGATAAACTTTTAGTAATAATATATTGATATGATTCCATCAATGATGTTAAATTGGAAATTCCCCACCCCCTTTTTGACCTTTATAATGGAGTTGGTCCACACTCTTGCTTGTATACTTAGGCAAATCTTCATGTCACACTTGTTGCAATCCCCTATTCACACTCACCACCACCCCCTCTTCCTCCTTAGTCAATATGCTAATTAGTAATTTAATTCCAATATTAATTATTATTGTGTAGGGCTAGCTCTCTTCCTAGATCGCAACTTCCATTTTCAGTCTTTTCGGCACTTTTAGGTCAAATAATACTAATAGTGTATGTCTTTATAATGAGGGAATTGAAGACCTCTTGGTGAAGTACCAATGATGTGTAAACCAAGAAGTAAGCAGGTTTTATTGATTCTCACCCAGTCAATACACGTATTATATGTCTTGTTAAGTTGCAAATGATTTTTATATGTTGTCATCTGGTTAGTATAAACATTAGTTTTTCAGTGGATGTGTCTTATATATAGTGCAGTCAATACGGGCTGGCGGGGCGGGACGGGCTAAAGCTCGGCGGGCCGCGGGCCTAAACGGAGCGGGCTAAAAAAGCCCGCTCCTAAACGGTCCTGGGTTTGACAAGCCCGGACCGCCCAGCCAGTGGCCCGCGGGCTAGGCGGGCCCCCGCCCAAACCCCTTTTAAAAAAAAATAAAAAATTGTTTATCAAACATCTAACTAATTAAAATAAATTGATACATAAGTCATAACTCACATAAAACATAATAATCAAACATTAAATATTACATAAAGTTCAAAGTTCATAGTTTATCAAACATCAAACTAGTTACAACTACAAAGTCCATAAATATTACACATAACAATAATTTTAAAGTGCATATTTTATATAAAAATATTTTATATAAAATAAAATAAAATAATGACGGGTAGCCCGCGGGCTCGGCGGGACGGGCCTGGCGGGCCTAAGCGGGGCGGGCCAAAAAAGCCCGCTCTTAAACGGTCCTCTATTTTCAAAACCCGCCCCCTATCTAAGTAGGGGCGGGATGGGCTAAGCCCGTTTTGTCGACTCTACTTATATAACATTTTTTGCTACGATTCTAGAACTCTATTATGATATGCTATATGTTTTTTCAAGTTGCAAATGACTTCTATAAATTGTCATACAATTAGTTAGTACAAACATTAGGGCAACAATAATAGTTAGGTTTTTATTTTGGATTTTCGACACCTTTAGAGAGCTAATAGAGAGATGGTTGGGGGAGAAAAGAAAAACATAATAATTTAACAAACAAAAAATTTAAAGTGGTTGCCAACTGACAACTACCCTTACTCACCTAGTAGACGCATGTTCTGGCCATTTCTTCTTTCTTTCTCGGACACAAAAATCCAACTTAACAGAAAAATTAAGTTTTTCTGTCACCTTTTCCTCTCTCTTCCAAATCACCATGTTTGCCTTAAAAGTTGAATACAAATTCCTCAATGGAGATGCTTTTAATTTTTTTGTAATTATGCCCTATACTGTTATATTTTTAGCTATGATTCTCAAACTCTGCTATGATATATACATTATGCATAATTAAGTTGTAGTTTCTGAGTGTTTCTCCTTTTTATGTTTTCCACAATATAGTTTCAACAAAGAATTAATTTTACTTTTGGTCCTATGACTTTTGATCTCTTATCACTTTTGATGTATACCTTTAATTTTTTTCATTTTTGGTGTCTAACTTTATTATTTTTATCAGTTTTGGTCCTTCCGACCAAATTGACAGTGAAATATTGCCAAATTTTATATTTTAGGCGCAAGATCGTCATCCCAATGAAAGATCTTCAATATCTAAACAAAATCACTGTAAAATCCTATTAAGAGAAAAAGAAGAGTTTGTCAATCGTCGACGCTATAAATCTCATAGATCTGTATCTAGTTTCTGCCCGTCTTTCCCATTATTCTCATCGATCAAACACATATAGATATGATTTTACAGTGGTTTTGTTTAGATATTGAAGATATTTCTTTGGGATGACAATTTTACCCCTAAAAATTTAAAATTCGACAACATTTCACCGTCAATTTAACCAAAAAGACTAAACTGATAAAAATAACAAAGTTAGACACTAAAATTAAAAATTTTTAAAATTATACACCAAAAATAATAAAACTTAAAAAGTTATAAGACTAAAAGTGAAATTAATTATTCAACAAATATATTACACTTGTAAATTTTTTAATATATGTTAAGAAAGAAAAAAAGGAGGCAGACACACACACATATATAATTTGCAAAGGCACATGCAATTGAGTAGCAGTTAATAGGTTGTGTCAGTAGATGGAGAAAAGAGCAGCATCCACTCCCAACGACAAAACAAAAAGTCCACTGATCTTTCAGTACCCTTTCTGCCACTGCATAAAAGGAGATCCACCAACACCACAACCAAAATAAACCAATATAGCTAGTCCGAGCTCACTAATTTAATATGCAGTATTTGAGAGAAAAGATTAAGATTCGAACCTCAGCAGCAACCGTGTGAATTGTATATCTAAAGTTGATAGATTCTTTATGTGCACCTGCATTTGACCATGTCTGATGAACCATTGAGTTTCGTTGAATATAACATTCGTTTATGTATTTTTTATTCATTGATGATGATAAAAATATGACACAAACCTGACTCACGTAGGTTTAACTCTTCATGTCAAGACAAAGAGCAACTCAAGTAACCGTCTCCTCATTTATAAGGGAGCTTACTTTTACTCTCAAAACTAGTGACAAAAGACGACTTCTCTGTCTAAATACAAATCAAACAACAGATCTTTAATCGGGGAAGTGTGAACTTGATCTCCAACTAATTGCCCCTTTTACCCTTCCACCCTCATCATCCTTACTTTATTGTAACACTAAACCTATCTAAGTATTATACACTTATTTGACTAAACTCTTCAACTAAAATTTTACTTTTTTGAATTTTTGGTGTCATTGTGTGGGTGGGGTGGTGGTTGTTCTAGTCTTTCAGAATGGCCCACAAATCTTATGAAGCATTTGGCATCCTATGATTGTCGCTTCATTACACTTTTTTTCTACATATATAATACATGATGAATTGAGGCAATGTCATTTCTGCAAAATGTCTCAGCTTTACTCAAAACTCCTTTTGATCTTTTCATCCCTACCACAGATTCATGACCCACATTTTTCTCTCTTCATCTCCACCAATCAATAATTCTCTATATCTTCCACTTGGTTTGGTCCTCTGTCTCTTCATCCACCTAAACAAAAACATACCAGGGTGTAAATAAACCGCCATTACATCAGCATAAAATTTATCAACATTTCACCAAAAAAGGTGAAAAACTGAGTTGAACTTGATTATTGTACCAGAAGGTCACGAGTTTGAGGTCTTATCTGTCTCGACACAGTTTAATTGATCAACTAATTCAAAGTAGATTGACCGCCTATTTTGCTAGTTGTCAATGTGTGGGTTCTAACTGATCGGCTCAAACGAAGAAGATCACTAGACCGCTCTTAATGGGAGTTAAAATTGTAACCTTGTGACTACCTAGTCAACAACTTGGCGTGCACTTCTTGACATCAGATATCGCGTTTTGGCTGAAAGAATGCGACGATTCTTCTGTTTAGTAAAGCCAATTAAATGTTGCTGTCACAAAAGGAAGCATTTAATGTGAAAGGGAGAAGAGGAGAAGAAAGAAACAATGGAAATGGTGTGGAGATGAGAAGGGGGACCAGTTAAAGATTGATCATAATAAGCAGTGATGATGAGGGCAGAGAGGAAATGAAAAGCTGAAAGGCTGCACACCACAAACTCAACCTCACAGATTTCTGCTCTTCCTTAAGATCACAGATGCCAGAGCCATTTCAAAGGAAGTTTCACAAGTTTAGATTTGAAACTTTTGTTTCCAGTTGATCCATTTCAAGAGTTTCATCTGTGTTAGAAACACTACCTGCTACATTCAACTTCCCTAGTTGAAGGAATGCAAGAAACATTCAACTGTATTGACCGATTGTCCTGGGGTATAACTCAACTGGTTGACCAATCCAAAGAAAGTTAAAACTGGATGTAGGGTTCAATTCCTACCAGAGATGGTAGGTATGGATTGGCCCTGAACAAACTGACTGTCAAGTCACATCTTACGATTTACCTTTTTCACTCAGGCTCTAAAGCACGGACAAATAGAAATTCTCAGAGTTGGGGTTCAATCCTGTTTTTTAAATACCGACTGAGAAAGGCCTATACTCCACCCCAAACAGTTAGCATTCATGTACTTGTCCATGTGATTTCACTACTTTCAAACCAAAACAAGAATGCACAACTTGGAATATAAAGCATTAATGTTTATAAGTTTGAAAGTGACAAGTAATGCATTATAGGCATTGGACTTTAATACTGTAAGATGCTAGCTTGAAATGATGCCAACCCAACTACCAATTTCAAAGCCATTCAATATATAACTAACCAAACAGTACAAAGCTCAGAATTAACTAACAATCAAGACAGTTGATCACAAACCATGACAGAAAAGATAGTCAAAATCCCCAGAATGCAAGAACTTCAGAAGACAATATGGCAGAAATCTTAGCCTGGGAAATCAAAATCTCTCACAGTACAGTGAAAAGGTTCTAATCTGCAAACTGCAGAGAACTGACCATCAGTTGTGAAGTGTCAGCGTTATACCATTGTGTCGACATGTCCCTTCTTTATCTCTTACATAAAATCAACTAGTTAGAAATAAAGAACAAGAACTAGCTACAAGTGTAGAGAAATATTTGAATTATGTAGACTTATTAAAGGATTAGTTCATCTGAGAAGTTCTATTTTAAGACAGGCTTACAAGATAAAATGTTTGGCCATACTATGGAAAAACTGTAAAAACCTATGAATCAAACGAGCAATAGAATATAGTGTGTAAAAAGGTGTCAAAACACATTTTATCTTTCCTCTTCTTGTGCCAGCAATGGATCCTTTAAACGGTACCAAGCACCTTCAGAGTCCAGATGAAGCGATTCTGGGAAAGAAACAGTCAAAACTGATATGAGAAATTGAGAATTGCTGCTGAAATGGTTGCTTCTGGTGAATAATAGCTAAGCTGTGTGTATTAGAAACTGAACTACAATCCTGAAAAGAGAAAGAAGGGATATTTGGAAAGAGATCACAAATAAATGAAAATCTTATGAAGGATGCCCACAGATAAATGAAAATCTTACCAAAATGCCACCAAAAAAAAAAAATCAAATCTTAGTTGGCCGGGATAGCAATTGAGAAACTAAAATGCATACTTACACAAATAACAATAATTTCCACAATTTATGAATCACAAACACCAAAGTTCATTTTGTCAGAAGTGGTAGCATTCACAAAATGGTTGAGATTCAACTTAAGGTTGCCACTTGCCATGATGGAAAAAGTGAAAAACCAATGCAATAACATGTGTTTTTAATGGTCACATACCTATGTCAAATATGTCTTTCAGAGAGTTAGGATAAGAGAAAATTTTAAGAACGGTAGTTGAAGTGTTACAAAGATAAAAATCTGTTTGTCCACCTAGAGTGTTGGGGGGGAGAAAGAGCGGCTTTGGAGCAGAAAAGCTTGTTGAAAATGAGGGAATCCATATTTGATAATAAAACACACTGATGCAAGTCCTTGGACAGAATTAACAGAATAAGTGAAGCAAACTCATGATCATTCATTGTGACCCAAATTGGGCCTAAGCACAGGTATCTTATGCCTTCCAACCTCAAGATCAAAAGGAAAACACTAAAGCAGTAGCTAAGACATTGTGACCCAAATTGGGCCAGGTAGCATAGGTCTTTATGGCCTTACCCATTGGGCAAACACTAAATCACACTTGAGAGACATTGACCTAATCCAGGCCAGATAGAATATCATTCAACCTACGAGGCAGACATACCAAAGGTTTGAACAAGTCCACATATCTACTATTGGCTTTAACACGCTAGGTTACATTTAGCACACAAAAAGGATGTTTTGTGAGGCGGGTGAGATCCAAAACAGTGGACCTCAACACTGCATCAAGTGAGCATATATTTTTAAAGGTCAAAAACTAAGTGCAGTCCATGAACCAAAAAACAGAAACAATTTCATCACATGTTTTTTCTCCTACACCCGGTGACCTCTACAGTCTTTACTCTTTTGTGAAGACATTTAGTTATCTTTTAAAAGTATCTTATCCTTTGAGCCAACAAATCCTCGCCCATTTTAGTCGTTTAGGACTTTCTAATTCCAATCATTTTCGGTTTAATTTGGCAAGTGCAATGAATGACTCCATCCTCCGTCCTCCACAGCATCGCAGAGGTTCGATAAAGCTTCACTCCATACTTTCAAAATATTCGCAAACACAGACCATGGTGAGAATGCTCACATCAATCATATTTATTTTATAATATATAATGGAATATTGGGTACCGGGCCAACCAAACAAGCCCAATCCACAGCTAACACAGCAATTTACTAAGCAGCCAAACCCGAGAGCTCTGATCTGCACTCTGCAGACATGCTAATTTGAAAGGATTAGACAAGCATTAAATGACATTTAATGCCTGTTAGATGCCGTCACAGCAAGTGTAGCAGTCAAGGCACTCCCCTAGAAACACGCTATTAATCTAGAACAACCTAATTGTCAATGCCTCATATTTCACAAGTATCATAGTATAAATAGATGCTCCTTACATGGAACGTGAATCCAACTCCCCTAGAAACACGCTATTACTCCGTTGCATCTAGACATAATGGTATAACAAACTTAATTTGACAAGACATTTAGATTAACAATATCACAAGCCATGTAGGGCTACTAATTATTCTTCTCCTCAAATATTGTTCTTGTGATATATCTAGTACCTTGAGTTGACTAAACCTATCAATATATAAATGCCTAGCTGTAAGACCATATCCTTTGAAGCAACTATAACAAACTAGCTCCAATATAAAGGGTATATCCTTCTGGCAATGAGCATATATAAATTGTTATAAACTAAGATTGGGCTAGGATCACTCAATTGAGCCATAATGCACATGGGCCAAACCACACTGCCATTTTGAATCAAACCGGGTGACCACTTAATGAACAGGCTATATGACACCATGTTAAAAACTAAGATTGGGCTAGGGTCCTAGGTCACTCAATTGGGCTACAATGCACATAGGCCAAACCAAACTAAAAGATTGAATCCAACCAATCTAACTCATGGCCTTATAAACGCATATGTTCTCTCTTATTTTATCAAAATGTAGGACTCAACATAAACAATGGTAAAAATCTTTTCAAATCCAGAACTTCACCTAATCAGTTCAATCACCCTCCCGCTTCTCTTGTGAATTGAGGCCGCCTTTAGCAAATAATGAAGCTTCAGAGCAAGCAAATTCAGATAAGTGATCCCTGGGGTCTAATTACTTTTAGTAATATAATTTTGGAAGATCACCGAACTTATTGTTTTTTAACAATTAAGTCATTGAACTGAAATTAAAAGGTGTGCAATTGAATAAAACCATCAAACAAACAAAAAATGCGCAATTGGGACATTCAAACTTCAAAATGATGCTGTGCAGATGAATCAAATGCAGAATAAAAATTCACACTTACAGAACTGATCATCACGTATCAATCCACACGCTTGTAAGACACATGTTTCCTAGCAGCCCTAGCATTTTCGTATTCGAATTTCAATACATTGGGGATATCCGAAGTGTCCTTAATGTAAAAGAACCTCCCAAAAGCGCTCTCCTCAATAGCCGTAAAATAACGTCTGATTATAGAATTAACCACCCAGAACCAGGCGGCGCCGAGGAAAGCGCCGAGCGAAGCCCCGGCAAAGACCTGCGCCACCGTGTGATAACCTAGGTAGACCCTCGAGTGGAGAGTCAGAATCGCCAACGGCCAGATCAGAAGAACAGCGAACAACATTTGGTACCGGAACAAGGATCCCAGTCTCCGGTGGGTGAGTAGCGTGAAGTAGACGGCGAAGAAGAACATGTATTGGGCGTGGCTGGAGGGCCAGCCATGCGAATCGCACATCTCTAGGATCACGCAGGTCTCGGGGCGGGCCTGCTGGACCGACGTCTTGATGACCTCATTGATTATCTGGGAAATAAGCAGGCCTAAGGCGAAGAACATGCCCTGGAGCTCGCGGCGGAACATGAAGTGGGAGATGAAGCCGCCGAAGGTGATGAAGACGGGCACCAGCGACACCCAGGCCAGGAAATGCCCCAGCTGATCGCCCTTCCGGTACCGGACGTGCGTGAGAGTCACGGCCTTCAGCGGAACGTGGGACATGGCGGATTGCGCAATGAGATCTGCGATGTGTACAATCACAGCGCCTGAGAGAGAGCAAAGCGAAAGAGAAAACCAGTTGACAGAAGAAAAATGGCTATGGAGGAAAGAGAAGTGTTATATAGTTTAGCAAAAAGATGAATCGCATCTGTTCTCCTCCATTTTTCCCATCTAACACCCGCAGAATTGGAAAAATTCAACACAGCAAATTTTCACCTTCACCCCTCAAAATCTTATACCATCACACATGAGTCCCTAATGGCCATAATACTTAGCTGATTCTAATTTCGTTAAGGGTGTGTTTGGAAGGAAATCATTTTCCGGGTTTGTGGTGTTTGGCTAGGTAGATAAATAAGAAGTCAAAGAAAAATCACTTGCTATCAATGGAAAACAACCCCATTCTTCCGGAAAATGACTTCCCCTTTTTTTGGGGGGAAGTGATTTTCCAAGTGCACTGTTCACGCTTGTTCTCTCTGCTATCTCCACAAGCTGCCAGTGGACTGCGTTCCCATGGGCCGATTCGCCGTCGTCGGAATCGGAGTGACGCCTTCGCCGCCTCTGTTCTCCCGTTCGTCGCCTCCGTCATCTCCGCCTCTTTCTCCCTCATCGACTGCGCTGCCCCCATAGCCTTCTCTTTTGCAGTCTGCGCCGTCCTCGAAGCCTTCTCCTTCGTCGTCTCCGTCCTAGAGCATCCTTCGCCGACTGAGTCTTCGAGGTACATTAAGTACAGTGGCGGAAATCAAATTTGGGGAAAGTCGAAATTCATAACCCGATCTTTTGCAGTCTGCGCCGTCCTCGAATCCATGACCCGATCGTTAATCAGACACCGGCGAGTTCTCTGGACGTTGGCACCCAGCCGGCAAATTGAGGAGGTGGACAAAGAAATCAGTGATGGCGGTGGTCCGGACTTTGGCACCCAGCCGGCAAATTGAGGAGGCGGACAAAGAAATCAGTGATGGCGGTGGTCTTTGTTCGCCTGTGGCTGCTGTTTCTAGTCCATGGGAATTTCCGACAACTGCCATGAGAATGTTATTAGTCCAATTTTGAATAATTTAGTGTGGATGAACATGGGATTAATTTCAATTTGAGAGACAAGATTTTGCTGTGATTTTGTTTTGGTTTATTACTTTAAATGGCAATTTTATTTTGATTTTTATATTTTAATTATACAATTCTACTCATTTTTCAGAAAATGAACCAAACACACAAACACAGTTTTCTGTTGGGCATCCAAACACCGGAAAGGAAAATGTTTTATGGAAAATGACTCATTTTTCAAAAAACATTTTTCAAAAGTCATTTTTCTGCTTTCCAAACGGACCCTAAATTAATCTTAAACTCAAAACATTTCACCTCAGATTCACTATATGAAAATAAATCACAAGTCACACAATTAGTCCACCGATCAGTCTTCTAGCATCTGTTTTTTTTTTTTTTTTTTTTTTTTTTTTACAAAAAACAAAACTATACCAAGAGAGAGTAATTTTTAAATTTTGATTTTTATGTGTAATTTGTATATATTTCTTCAAGCGCCAAGCATCTTGTGCTCAGATGGTACTCGGGTAGAACTCTCATATGGGAGATTGTGAGTCCATGCCTCAGTGAATGTGTTATTAGTTCGCTCTTTGTGCTTCAGTAGGTTGAGAAAGTAGCTATGAACAGATACTACATTGTAATAGAGTTAATGGCATTCAAAAAAAAGAAAGTGTATTATTCTCTAATAATATATTAATTAAAATAAAAATATTTATAAATAACTAAAATTAATTATCATAAATCAAATTGAGCATATAAAATAAAGTGAAATACGTAATTAATAAACCATAGTTAATCCATACTTTAGGTCAAAAATAATTTTGTGTAAAATGTCTTTAACTATACAAATATGAATGTTTGAATAATAAGGGAATAAGGTTCAAATTGGCCACTGAACGTATTTTGAAAATGCAATTAGGTCACTGAACGAAAAAAATATGCAATTAGGTCACTGAACACTCAAAAAACGTGCAATTAGACCACTTGAACACTCCAAATGTATGCAATTTCACCGGATAGCAGGTTACCATCAATTTTAGCAGGTTACCTGCTTACGTGGCAGCTGAGTTGACATTTTTAATAATTTTAAAATAATTTTTAATAAATTTTAATAATAAATTTTTAGAAAATTGAAAAAAAAAATGAATAAAAATAATAAAAAATAAAAACTAATACGACCCGTCGTTTTTTTTTTTTTAAGTTTTTGTTTTTTAAAAAAGTATTATTAAAATTTATTAAAATTATTTAAAAATTATTAAAAATGCCAACTCAGCTGCCACGTAAACAGGTAACCTGCTAAAATTGATGATAACCTGCTATCAGGTGAAATTGCATATATTTGGAGTGTTCAGTGACCTAATTACACTTTTTTTTCGTTCAGTGGTTTAATTGCATTTTCTAGTTACGTTCAGTGGCCAATTTAAGCCTTATTCCAATAATAAGGGACTCAAGTATCATGATAGTCCATTTCCGGGGTCCAAGTGAGAAGTTCGAAAATTTTGCTGTCATCAAATGGGAATATAAAGAACCAGATAAAAGACAGGGTGAGGGCTAGAAACACGTTCTCTTACACGTGGTCAACCCCTTTACCACTCCTAGACTACGCTATTCAAGTATAAAGTATTCTTGTTTCAAAAAAAAAAAGTATAAAGTATTCTGCTTTCAAAAAAAAAAAAAAAGAAAAAAAAAGTATAAAGTATGCAATGCCTTCTTTTTATTTTATTTTTAATTTTAAATTCTTCAATATTAAGCGTGTCTCCTTTCTTGCTTGCATGATATAAGTAATTTAGTTGGGTGTCACCCAAGTCGTACTCTAATGTTTAACATTATCACATGGCATTTAATATAGTGAGGTGACGCACGAGTTTATGAGAGAAAAGCTTCACATAGAAATTTTAAGGATTCGTATAGAACTGTGTGAAAATATTTTTCTGAAAATAATTAAGAAGATGACTTATTTTTTAAAAAACTATTATAATTTTATGGTGTTTAATTGAAAGTAATAAAATTATCTTTTATTGTTTGACTAAAAGTTAATATATTACAAATTTTATGTTTAGTTTTTTTTTTTTTTTTTAAATAACATATTATTTGTTTATAATAATAATAGTATAGTATGTGGTGGTGATGGTGGTGGTTGTGTTGGTGGCGGTGGCGGTGATGGTATTGGTGTGGTGTGATTGTGATTGTGGTAGTAATAATAATTCGGGAACTAAGTTGGAAAAAAAATAGAGTGGAGAGGTGGTGGTTCATTCTGATTGTTTTAATCTATGTAACTCTCTTTCTTTGCGTCCTTTTGATATTTCTTATGTTGGTATAGTGGTATGTGATTGTAGTGGGTTAGCTTTTTTTTTTTTACTTCATGTATTTTTCAGTTTATTTGTCGTTCAGTTAATAAGGCGTGTGATCGGTGGATTGTTTAGTAGCGAAGGGCTTGTCGTAGGTTACTCTGGTGTGCTGGGACAATTGTCTACCTGAGTTTCTTGTTCTTTTTTTCTACTTGTTGGTTAATGAGAATTTCTGTTTTGTGTTAATAAAATCATTAAATAAGCAAAAAAAAAAAAAAAATTATATAGGAAAACAGTCATGTAACCTCCCTTTTTTCTTTTTTCTTTTTTTAAAGGTCCTTTTTTTGTTAACCTCCACTTAAAAAATAATTAATAATTTCAAAATGTATACAAATAACTAAGCAATTAAGGACGACTTCTAACCCTAATTCTCTCTTGATTTCCAACTCCTCTAATTCATATACAGCCACCGCCGTCCGATCGTCTTCCCCTGCCGCCATCTCTACTGCAGATAACGTCCACCTTCATTGTCTTCACCATCGCTACCGGTCGTTACTCCTTTATTTCCGCACGGTTATTTCCCTTTGTTTTGTTTAACTGTTTTAGTTTGTTTGCAATTTTTGTGTTTTTCCTCTCGTTATTTTGACGAGTTTCTTCCTCTCATGTGGCGAGTTTTTTTTTCATAAAGCATGAAATGATAAAACTGGCCATGGCGTATGTTAATATCATCCTGGGTGACAAACATGCAATAAAAAAGAGACTCATATGAACTATGATATACAGTTTAGCCAGATGGAGATATTGTTAATGGATAGAAGAGTAGAAATAGATACTCAGATGGTGTGTAATACTATTCAATCAGAGTCAGACTTGGGAACGTTTGACCATATCATTAAAAAAGTTTAAAGTTCCTCCAAAGAATTCAACTTCAAATTTGCGACTGTAAGGAATGTTTGACCATTCCATCAATCCTTATTGTAAACGTTTCAGCCTATGATTAATGATACAAATTACACTTTTTTCTGAAAACCCTTTTGGTAACATGTAAATAATACAAATTACACATTTTTTGCTTATATGATGACTTAGTTGCACACATTTGTAATTCAATAGCCAAATTACACAAATTCAACAAGTTTAGTTGTTTATAAGTTTATTTGATAATTTTTTTTAAAGCAAAATTTAATTTGATTATCTTTTCTACTGACCTCTATTGTATTTTAAAGTATTAGAAAATGTACTCACTTCTTTACCTTCTCCCTCAACCCCCACTAAACCTCTCAAGTTTCCACCTAACCCCAATAACCCCTTCATGCATCCTTCAAACTCTCCGCCATGGTTGTCTTACTTGCCCATCAACTCCCTACCAGTGTTTAAATAATGAAATGGACAATTGATGTTCGGACCACGTTGTGCGAAATGGAGATAGATGTTCATATTATAAAATAGGAAGAATTGCAAGTTTGGATCTTTAAGTCTTAGGTATATTTGCCATTAAGGCAATAACTTGTAGTCAAGTATCATTAACCTTTTAATTTTATGTTAGGATATAGAAAGTTTGATCTGCAATCTTAGAGTTATATGATTTTCGATTATTAAAATAATTAGTGTAAGAAGGTCATAGTTAGAGCATTTCTATTTATGAGTTGGTTTTTCCCTCATAATACATGATTTTTTAAAAAAGAAAGTGATTGTTAGCTAGTGACCACCTTAAAAATATTTTATATATATTTTTGTTCTCTTTTCTAATTGGGCTGACAAAACAAATCATTTTGAATTTTATTGTTACCGATGTTCTTAAAGAGAGATATTTAAGGAAAAAAAAAGTCATAAGGCAAAAGAAAAATAAAAGAAATAATAAATAAGTATTGTGGCGGCAACAAAAGTTGCATAGCAAATTTGCTAGTCACATGGACAACCCATCAAAATAAACAATGCTTTTCTGAATTTTCACATCATCTTGCCAATGCTATCTTTGCTAGGATAATCTCAGTCTAAAACTCCATTAATTTCCATGATCAACTCAGGTTTTTGAATAACAAACGAAACTTTAGACAAATATATTTATGTAATGAACTAATGACAAAAAGTAAAAGTGGCATGACACTAATAACAAATTGAGTACTAAAAGCGACGTTACCGATAACTAAGGGTGGATCCACATTGAGGATAGTGGGGGTAGCTAGCTTAAATGGTAAGGTATGTGGTGTCCATCTTAAATGGCGATAGTTCTAATTGAATTTTTTTTTTTTATTTATAACATTGTGATTTTTTTAAAAATATTGATGAGTGATTTAAAATGTGTTTTCTTTCAAAAAATATTTTTATCTCGTTTGGATGTATTTTGATTTTCATCCCTAGTTAACAATATTTATGACTTGGTCTAATTGTTTTTTTTTTTTTTTTAAATATCTCATTAGTTTTAATCTTTCATCCCTATTGAATAAGATTTATGGATACGTCTCTACTAATAAGTAATAACAGAGTATACTAAATGCTATTATCTTACAATTAATGATAAAAAAATGTAATTTTTATAATATCACAACTATTATAATTAAGAGTAATACAATTCCATTATTTTAATATCACAACTGTTATTATGTCCAATATAATATCAGGAGCTCATGACACTATAATTCTACCATTCAACATCATCGTTACTACTTACTACTCAACCTATTTAATTATAATACTCTCCTAAATACACTCTAAGTGGTATATTTTGTTTATTTTGCCTATCATGGACATGAGTATTAAATGTATAAACATTTTATTACAAAAATTTATTTAAATGATATTTTCAATAGTGAAATAATAAATATTAAATTTAAATATTTTCATTTAAAAATGATTATTTCCCCTTATTTTTCACCTCATAGTCCTAGCTATGGAAGAGTGACACTTTTTAAAGCATATAGACTATAGAGGGTAAAATTTTAATTTATTAATTAAATTTGTAAATATTTAAAAATGTTTAAAGTGAACTAAAATTGTACTCCGTAAATATTACAGTCATCAAAATTTGTAATTGGCTCCATAAATACTACCTGCGGGTGTCCCCTTCCAATAGATCTAAAAAAATAAAAAATAAAAATTGTAAACATTAGTTTTAAAAAAGTTTAAAGCTGGAATGACAACATTGCCCCAATACAAAGACATGATAGAGGGTCAAAACAGTATTTTTCAAAGGATCTGAATTGGAACTCGGAAGCAACAAAATACACCCTCCAGACCTTAAACCCCTTCAAGCTTCAGCTAACGTAGAACCCTAGTAAGTTTCAAAAACAACCAGCGATTCTGAATATATATTCCCTTTCTAACTCGGAAAATTCTGCAACGCAAAAAAAATTGTAGTTCGGAAATGGATCGGGACACCTCTTTTCTGTTCGCGGGGACAAATTTCAACCGCAAAAAGTTCGCCGATGTTTTTGATAGATTCAAGGTACTGTTCTTCGAACCATTCTCTTAATTCTTAAAAAACAATCATAAATTGGTACAAAAACGTTTTTCTTTATGTTGTATGTGATGGACTGATGTTTGCCATTATATAACACTACAAGGACCCTAAGTTTACTTAATAGTTTCCGAAAGAGCGGTTTCAGTTTGATAAATGCGTGCATTAGTAGATGTAGGTGTTTATGCATTGTTAATCTGGGGTGAGTCTCTTGTGATTCGGGTCGGGGTAGGATAGGATATGTCTGGTAATGTAATACTAATCAAGAATAAGAATAATACTTTTGAATCAAAATATAATACTCAAAATGTAATACTAATTATGTATAAATTGATTGATTGTTAGTAATGAGAGAAAGTGTTATACTTAAAAATTGAATACTTTTAAATCAAAATGTAATATTAGGGTTTGAAGAGTTACTTATGAGGACAATGGTAATAGTTATGAAAAACATCTATCATTTGTTTTATGGATAAAGATCCGTTAGACGGTCTCATAAGAGATATTTCCAATAAGCTGATGGTTTTATTTGTCTTCTTATTCTTTGTGTTAAGGGGAAAAAAGAAAGTGATGAAGCAGCAGAGGAGTTGAATTTGATTGACTATGGAAGTACTCAGAAGGAGGAACATACATCATTGCGTGTTAGTAAGAAAAGGAAGAGGAAGGGAGCAGTTTCAGGTCATTTATGTTTATTAACAGATAGGTCTGAAAAGAATAATGGGTAATGACTTTGCCAATTGCTAATTTTGCTCATTCTGTGTTTTCATGGAATCAATTCTAGACCCAGTTGAAGGATTCAGTGTATTCACAAGTTCTAAATCAAAAACAGAAGCTGATGGTGAAGGAAAGGAGCATCGTGGAAGTGAAATTTTAGAGGGAAAGAAGGAATACTATAGACAATTGGAGGTTCTTCTCTTTCTATTTCTCATTTTCTTTCAAGGCATATGATGCCAGATTGGAACACATTTGACCATTGTGGGGAATACAAATGAGATTATTAATACAATTTATTTCCCCCTTGCAGCGGGATGCAATTTTCCGGAAGAAACACAATATTCATGTTTCTGGGAGTAATGTTCCTTCATGTCTACAGAGCTTTACAGAGTTAAAATCAAGGTGGTCCTCGTACATTTTCTTTAATGCACTTAATAAATTTGATCTCAAGCATTATTTTCCAGATTGTAAATCTTATTGGTAATATGTCATCGGTCATCCAGGTTTGGATGCAAATCATACCTGTTACGCAATCTGGCAAAACTAGGATTCAAAGAGCCAACACCAATTCAAATGCAGGCTATTCCAGTCATCCTATCTGTATGATCTCATCAAAATCACTTTATTCTTTATAATTGTTATCACTTTCCTTCTTTGTAAATACTATTTGTCTGAAATGTTAGGGACGTGAATGTTTTGCTTGTGCACAAACTGGTTCTGGAAAAACATTTGCTTTTGTCTGTCCAATACTTATGAAGCTCAAGGTACTATTACATATTGGCACCTGCATTACATTTGAATGAAATGGTCACTGGAAGTTTTCTGACAATGGTTTTGCTTGTCCAGCAAACTTCTAAAGATGGTGTCCGAGCTGTAATTCTTTGCCCTACAAGAGAGTTAGCTGCTCAGACAGCAAGAGAATGCAAGAAGTTAACCAAAAGAAAGGAATTCCATATCAAATTGATGACTAAACAACTTGCAAAAAGTGCTGACTTTTCAGTGCTTCATTGTGATATACTCATATCAACACCATTTCGCTTACAGTATGCTATTAACAAAAGAAAGCTTGATTTAAGTAGGTATGTTGAACCATCGTTACTTTTTTTTAAAGGGAAAGAGAGATTTTTATTGGATTAGGTTACATGCTTATATGTTTCTTGAGACGATGTTTTTTAGCTTTCCAACTGCAAAATTGTACCAGTATTTTTTTAGCCAGAAAATAGAATTTATTTTGCTCAGAGAAGAGACTTAAAAAAAAAAAAAAACCCGTAGCAAATACTTGAAACAGACCAGTTGCAAATTTGTGATGGGCATCTATACTTATGCAAATTCATCACATTTGTACATGAGAAAAATGAAATTTAGAATTTTTAGGTTTGAAAAACAAAAAATGTCTCTTCTCTGTGCAAAATAAATTCTATTTTCTGGCTAAAAACCCTGGTACAGTTTTGCAAATTCACCATCTTTGTGCATGAGAAAAATCATTTTTGCATGTGTATCTGAACAGGGTTGAATTTCTTGTCTTGGATGAAGCTGATAAGCTTTTTGAGCTGGGCTTGATGGAGCAGGTTGATTCAGTGTTCAAAGCTTGCTCAAATCCTTCAATTTTGCACTCACTGTTCAGCGCTACTTTACCGGACGAGGTTGAAAAGATTGCACGGACAATCATGCATGATGCTGTTCGTGTTATCATTGGTCGGAAGTAAGTACTAAATGCCTTTTAGTAAAGATCTGAAATTGAACCGTTATTCTTAAACTCAAATTCCTTCAAACTTTTACAGAAATTCTGCTTCTGAAACAATTAAGCAGAAACTGGTGTTTGTAGGAAGTGAAGAAGGAAAATTTATTGCTCTTCGCCAAACCTTTTCAGAGGTATGCTCCTTTTAGCAAATAGAATTGTCTCTACCCTTTTTAAAGCACAGTTTAGTCTCTCTTCTATTGTCGACCTTACTTCTTCCTGTTATTTTTTCTCTGTCCTTCTTACTTTTTTTGGTAGGGATCTTTGCCCTTCTTACTTTATATGAATGGAAGCATGGAGAAACTTTGGATTTCAGTTTCATCAAAGTGATTATATATACATCTTATACTCATTAGCTTCTTTCAACATACTGATTTGTATGAAAAATTATATCAACCCTTCCCCTTTTTTAAATGAGAAGGTGACGAACTTCCAAATCTTCATTTTGTATGTTATACGACAATGATCCTGAACGGTGTCATCTGGAGGTTTTTGACCCCATTAACAGTTCTTTACTTTTCTGAATTTCCAATCTTTATTGCTGATGCTTATTACTTGCAGAATACACATTGTTATACTATATGCATTTTTTGCTCATCTTAAAGACTTAAACATTTATTATTTGTGGCAGAGTTTGAATCCACCAGTGCTAATATTTGTTCAAAACAAAGAGAGGGCTAAGGAGCTGTACAATGAGGTGAAGTTTGATGACATTAGAGCAGATGTAATACACTCAGATCTCTCGCAAAAACAGGCAAGTTTATAGCCGATTCCTTGTGTCATTCCAATTGTAATCCACATCATTTTTACCTCTGTAAGAGAGGGCTTGGAGGTGTGGATTCGTATATATAATATATTCTTGTTTACATAATAATGCCAGCCTCATTAACCACAGAAACAATTTAATATTTTATTTACTGACCCAAATTAATGAATGCAGAGAGAAAATGCAGTTGATAACTTTAGAGCCGGAAAAACATGGGTTTTAATCGCAACAGATGTTATTGCCCGTGGTATGGATTTCAAAGGTGTCAATTGTGTCATCAATTATGATTTTCCAGATTCTTCTTCTGCATACATTCACAGAATTGGTATATAACTTCGGACTATAGCTTCCAGCCTCTCTTCTTCTTCTTCATGATGGTTACTGAAACTACACATTTTGATGTTCAAAATAGGGCGATCTGGGAGAGCGGGAAGGAGTGGAGAGGCCATCACCTTCTACACAGAAGCTGATGTCCAGTTTCTGCGGAACATAGCTAATGTTATTACTGCATCTGGAGGCGAGGTTCCCGACTGGATCATGTCAATGTCCAAGAAGAAATGGAGGAAGCACAGACCGCAAAGAGAATCGATTTCAACAGGACCCCAAGACGATTAAAACATAAATTACACTCCCCGGCCACCTCGTGGGAAGGAAAGTTTTGTTGTTGTGAGTTCGTAACTTGCTAATCTTAGACAATACCTGAAAATGTTCCTTATGAACTACACATCTGTCATAGAGATCTGTTTTCTGTCATTTGAAGAAATCATTGTACATTTTGTTGGACAAGAAAGAAAAAGAAAAAAAAGTGTCAATTCCTGAGAATATGTTGTCACCTGCCGAGGTTGACATTTGATATTCATGAACTGGAGGTTGCAAACTGCAGTTGAAATATTCTTATTTTTTTCATTAAAAAAATAGTCTCTTTAGGGATGTTGGGAGGTGTTAAGCATTTTAATAATTAATTTTTGAATAAATTTAGGTCATGAGCTTGCATCCCCCAACTAATATTTGGTGCAAGAAAGCTACTAGGATCCAGTCTATGATTCTTTTTTCCTTTTACTTTAAGCTATGGACTTTTCAAGAAAAGCTTCAGCCAATGAGACCATAAGCCAGAAGCCCAACCAACACTTAATCATTTGTTTGTTGGCTACCCTCCCGCCATATTTAAAAAAAAAAATCAAAAAAAAAAAACAAAAAAAGAAAAGAAAATTTCTCCCCCCTACCATCTCAGCCTGAAGTATATAATTTACATTCTGTATTTTTTAGCCTGCAATATCCCCCACAGGTAGCCAAATTCTGCAGAGAATAAGGCTTTGCATGATGGGATCCATGGAGAGATCAAAGAAGAAAGTACAGCTATGGAAGAAAGCCATAGTCCATTTTCTGCTGTGTTTTGTGATGGGGTTCTTCACAGGCTTTGCTCCAGCTGGGAAGGCGTCGATATTTTCTGGGAAGCTTTCTGTCTCGAAAGCTCAAGCGAATTACACCGGAAAGCCTGTCGAGATCCCACATGGAACAAGAACACAGGGTGATCAGAATTTGAACGCGACTTTGTTAGGTAGAAATTTTTCTGCAGAGCCAGCAAGGTCCAACAATGCATCAAAACCCGCACTCTCCAAGAAGCTGCAGGCAAAGGGGGTGGCAGAGGATCTGGACCCGCGGAGGCTTATAATCATTGTCACCCCAACAAGCGCGAGAAACCAGCTCAGAGGGGCGCTGATAAGGCGGCTGGCAAGCACGCTGAGGCTGGTGCCTCAGCCGCTCGTGTGGGTGGTTGTGGAGCAGCAGTCCGAGGATTCTGAGGTTTCTGAGATACTAAGAAAGACGGGAATCATGTACAGACACCTGGTGTCCAAGGAGAACTTCACCGACATCCAGGAGGAGCTTGATCATCAGAGGAATGTTGCTCTGAACCACATCGAACACCACAGGCTGAGTGGGATTGTTCATTTCGCTGGGCTTTTCAATGTCTATGATCTCAGCTTCTTCCATCATCTCAGATCAATCGAGTACGTCTTCTTTCTCTTAACTGCATTTCATGTTTTCTTTTTCCATCAACTTTCTGCAACTCTAGAATCGATATCATGCCATGTTTTCCTGCATAGAAAACCAGGATTATTGCAAACTGTTCCAGGCGGACAATGCAAGGTTTTGGATAATTTCAAAATTGATAATGAAATTATACCCCACAGATTAAACAATACAGAGATTCTTAGAAACAAATCTCAGTTTGGGTAGGTGATATTGTGTAACCACTCAAAGTATTCAACTTTCTTTATGCCCTATATCTAAGGTATCACATCATACATAAACTTCAATTTACAAGAAAGCCCACAATTGCCTGCCTTGTGACCCTAGAACGAGATAAACTAGTCTAAGTTGCCTATAACTAACCAATTCAAACCGAGAAGGCCAATAGACAGCTTCCACAAGGAGTCGAACTTGAAACCTTGTAGACATCATACATAATCCAAAATCGACATTTGGTTTTTGGGTTTTTGGTGAATGGTTTGATGAATGGGAGGAAATAATTGCAGGGTATTTGGGACATGGCCAGTGGCATTGTTGTCAGCAAACAAGAATGAAGTGGTGATAGAAGGGCCAGTGTGTGATTCTTCAGAGGTAATAGGATGGCATTTGAAGAGAGCAAACATGAATAATCAAACAGATTATGATGATGATCAAAAGCCTGCAATTAGGGTTTCCAATTTTGCATTCAACAGTTCAATTCTTTGGGATCCTGAGAGATGGGGCCGTACATCTTCTCTCCAAGACACCTCTCAGGTATTTACCCTCTTTTCATTCCCCCCTTCCACTATACACATCACTATAATTATCTTTGTATAAAAAAAATTTAATTTACGATGTTAACGGTACCCTGGTTAATGCAATAGGGTACGGTATTGTTAACACGGATACTAACACTACAATTCATTCAACTAGAGTACTATTGACTCTTATACTAACGTTACGATACAATCAAATATGATATACCTGATTATATAGAGTGTTATCAGAAATATAAAAAAATTGCAACTATATAAAGCTAACTTATATTATTACTTACCATATATATATAGGGTCATGTTCTTGTGTGAACAGTGTTTCTCGTGCGATCAGTGCGAATTGCATCATTAGGTATGCATAAATGCACTATAAAGTGTCTGAAAATACACAATTAAGTGTGGTGCATTTTGTGACATTTCATTCTGGTGCATTTTCGAACACTGTGTGGTGCATTTATACATACCTAATGGTGCAATCCGCACCAACCGCATAGGAAGCACTGTTTACATTGGAACTGAACATATATATATATATATATATATAGCCAATTAGGCACAATCTCATAATCATTTCTGCTAATGATTATTAAGAAATGAAAGCAACAACTAATCTTAGGATGTCGACACATTCTTAATTGCTTAAAAAAAGCCCCTAATAAATGACCATACCATACACCATATATATAATCAACAGGACAGCTATGGAAGGTTCAACAACACCATTGACAAACAAGTGATGTAACAAGCTAACTAATATATGAAATATATAAAAAAGCAAAACAACTTTTCACTTTAATTTTTTTTTCTTACATACTGCACTATTGTCCACGTATCGTGGGAATGCGGGACAAGACTGATTCGACTTATCTCCTAATAATATATTGTTTAATGTATTGTCAACATACAGGATTCACTGAAATTTGTGAGAAAGGAGGTGATTGAAGATGAGGCGAAGTTGATGGGGATTCCTCAAGAGGATGATTGCTCAAAAGTCCTTTTATGGAATCTCCAATCATTATGAACACAACATCATTTTCTTGTGTGTTGATGGTTTAGCCAAGTTAGTTGATAGTTAAAAGCCAAAGACCATGGCCAGCAATTTCATGGAAATGAAGAGATCCAATCTCATAGTTTTTGTCAAAATTTTTATGTTGCAATAGTTGGCATTCTACTCCTTTTTCTTAATACTTTTTCTTCATGTAATAATTATTTTAGGAAAAAAAAATTGAAATGTTAAATACTGAAATAATTTTCTTGCAAAGTTGTCTCTTCAATATGAGGGTGGTTACGTGTGTGTTTGCCTAGCCTCGATAAGATCTTGTTTGAAGATAGATTTGGCTTTCCTAGAATACAAAAAGCGGTTGATATACATATTTATTTTTTTGTTCTTCTTTTCAAGTTTACCCCTCCATGGGGCAAGTCCGAGCCAAGTTAGTTGAATAGTTGATTTGTTAACTACAAGATTTCAAGTTTGACTTTCTGTACGTGGATGTTGTTTATTGGCCGTCTTGGTTTGAGCCGGTCAGCTATGTGTAATCTCTTTTGGTCATTTGTTGACTAGGGTCATAAAACCGATTTCACCTAGAGTGTATCTTCAAATAGCAACAACAGACTTTTCTATAAATTAAAGTTTATCACTTCTACAGATTAAAAAAATAATAATAAAATAATAAGTTTGCTGTTACTTTTTGGAAATATTTAATTCTAATTAGGTTAATATGTTCATCGATAATTATAAGAATATTGTCGGCCAGTGCCAACATCCACGTTTCAATTAAAATAAATAAATAAATGTGGTTTTTCACAACTTAATTTGTGGTGTGCATTCAAATAATATTCAATCAATCAACGTTCGCCTTGTGTTATCATACAAAACGTTGGCTGTCAACAGCTACTCGATATGTTTGTCTTTTGGTTGGGTAACACATTATCTGTAACATTTGTTTAACAACGTAGTAAAGCAATCACAACTGCCTTAATTATACAACAAAATCAAGAAATGACTAATTCATATTTTTTTTTTTTGAGCGATGCACCAGGTATTATCCAAGAGTATGCACTAGGTAAACTCTGTTTTGTGGTACGTTTTAATCTGTAAAAGACTACAAAGAAGTAAACTGGCTTAGGTTGTTATAACTGATTGGCTCAAACCGAGAAGGCTAATAGACTTCTATTAAGAGTTAAACTTGTAATAGGGAAAAGGGTCAAATAGACCCTTAAACTATAGGCAAAAGAGCAATTAGGTCCTTCAACTTTTAAAAGTTACAATTAGGTCATTCAACTTGTTATTTTGAGTCAAATAAATCCAATAGCAGGTTTTTCACCTGGAATAATCGGTTAAAAAATTCCGACGATATTTCCGGCGACAACAAATTAAAAAAAAAAAAAAAAAAAAAAAAAAAAAAAAACTGCCGGAGAAGAGAACCGTTCGATTGGATGGTGTGCATTGAGTAACCCTAATGGCCTAATCAGCCAAGGAACACAAGGAGGGAAATCAACTTAGTTTATAGTTGATTGGCTCAAACTGAAAAAAGTTAATTGATCTTTTGTTTAAAAAAAACAAAAACAAAAACACAACCCATAATTAACTTGTTCAAATCAAGAATGTCAATAGGTTGTTATTTTGGGAAGTCAAACTAAGTTAAAGGTATGACTAATTAATATCTGAGTTACGAGGAAAATCCCAATCACTACTGGAGAGTGTGCATTGAGTAATCTTAGTCAGCAAACGAACACAATGAGGTAAACCAACTTTGACGGTTCATAGTTAATCGGTTCAAACCAAGAAGGTAAATAAGTTGGTACGTGGGAAGTCAAACTAAGTTAACCGTATGAACAACTAAATCATTTAAAGAAGTGTAATCTCTGTAACAAAAGCAAGATTAACAGATGAAGTACAGCACAGAGGAACTGGGACTGTAATCATTCTTGAACTGGAGTTAATGGGGGGTAAAAGTGAGTGAAATGGGACCCATTTTCCGAGCTCCTTTAATGGGGGTCACGCACAATAACCCAGGCCAGTTGGTATTCTTCACGTTCTACAGACACAGTAGTTGAACTTCTCTTTGGAAAGATCTGATCTTTCTCTTTCTCTTTCACTACCAATGGATATTCAGGGAGGAGGGCACAATCTCTCTTTCTAGTCTTTTTGTTTCACAGAAAAGAAACTCTGTATATATAGAACAACAATGGAAGCTTTCTGAGATCTGGGAACTCTCATTCACAGGTATCTTCTTCTGTTTTCTTGAAAATCTTTCAGAATTCTGCACTTTTGATTTGATCAAATTTGTTGTAATGCATTTCTGTCTTAATAGAACTGTTGTGACTTTGGTTATTGGATTATCCTTTTAATGAGGCCTAATTTTACATAGATTTTCTGGAGATTTACAATGTTGGTCATTATTTGGGTGTCTGGTTATTAGATTCTCTCTTGTAAGAAGTTCCAAGTGAAACATTAATGTAATTCTTGAAGTTTGGATTTGAGTGTTCAGTTTCGATTTTGTTCTTTGTTGTTGAGGAACTGTACTGTACTGTTTGAAGCAGAATCATAGTTTTGATGCTATTAATGAAGGACAATATGTTCTATGTTTGCAGCCAAGATTTTCTTTCATTAGCCTTTCATAAAAGGCAAACTGAGACAACACAGATGCATTCTGCAGATAACAAAGTTGTTTCTTTTTATGCAGATATATATATATATATATATATATATATATATATATATATATATATATATATATATATATACACGCTTTGATTCGATAGATTATATGGGAAAATTTTCTTCCTTTTTCTGTTCATGAATTTGCCTTTCTGGGAAAAAGATCAACAATTCAAAATGATGATTTTATCTTCTGTTGCAGACTTATAAAAGAATGGGGAGGAAGGGGAGCTGGTTTTCTTCAGTGAAGAAGGCATTCAGCCCAGAATCTAAGGAAAAGAAGGAACAGGTTTTTTTTTTTTTAATTTCTTGTGATAGTGACACTGTTTTTTTTTCGCATATGTTAAGGATTTGTTAAGATCCATATTTTCTCGTGTTTTTCATCAGAAAGCAAATAAATCGAAGAACAGATTGTTGGGAAAGGAGAAGCTTCACGTTCCGAATTCTGCAACTCTCGAGACTTCCACTGCTGCCTCACCTCCTCATCTGGAAGAGGTAAAATTGGCAGAAGTCGAGAAAGAAGTTGCCACAGCTGCAGTGGCTGAAGATGCTATTGCAGAAGCTGTTCAATCAGCTGCAGTTGCAAAGCTTTCGGGCAAATCCAAGGAAGAAGACGAGGCTGCTGCAAAGGTTGTTGTTCAATCAACTGCACCCGCAAAGTTTTCAGGCAAGTCCAAGGAAGAAGCTGCAGCAATCAGAATCCAGACTGCGTTTCGTGGGTACCAGGTATTAGGATGTCTTAACAGCAGAAATGTTCTTTGAATAGAATAAAGGTGGTTGCTTTAGTTTTAGCATTCTTGATTTGCAGACTAGAACAGCTTTTAAGGTTTCGAGAGGACTTGTGAGACTAAGATCTCTTATCGAAGAGCCAAGTGTCAAACGACAAACTGGGAATGCGTTGAAATGCATGCAGATGCTTAGCCGCTTACAATCCCAGATTCATTCGAGAAGAAATAGGATGTTGGAGGAAAGTCAAGCTCTGCAGAGACAGCTTCTGCAGAAACACGCAAAAGAGCTCGAGAATTTGAGGGTAATGATCCTTCTTGATCTCTTCCCTATTATCTTTAAAGAAATTATCCACAACTCCAATCAATGAGTTTTTTTTGGTTTGACAGAGAGGGGATGAATGGGATGATAGTCTACAATCAAAAGAGAAAATTGAAGCAAGCTTGTTAAGCAGGTATGAAGCTGCAATGAGACGCGAGAGAGCACTCGCTTATTCCTATTCTCATCAGGTGAGGAAATTTTTTGCTTCTAATACATTCATGGCTCAAAGCATTCACCATCACTATCGATATTAGGCTCGTTAACTTTGAGAAATTTATAATCTTGACAGCAAACTTGGAAGAAGTCGTCGAGATCTCCCAATCTGTTGTTTATGGATCCAACCAATCCTCAGTGGGGTTGGAGCTGGTTAGAGCGGTGGATGGGAGCCCCGGGGCGCCCATTGGAGGCTCATGGTACACCAGAACGAGAGCTTAAAACCGATCACATATCAGCAAAAAGTGTCAATCTGAGCATTTCTGGGGGAGAAATTACCAAGTCTTTTGCTCGCCATCAGCTAAACGCTGAACAGCCTTCTTCGCCCGCCAGCCAAAAACCAACTCGAGGAGCACGCTCTTCAATGACAACCAAGAAGCCAAAACCACCCAGCCCGAGAGTGAGGGTAACCAGCCAAGACGATGATGCAAGAAGCGTGTTCAGTGTCCAATCAGATCGAAACAGAAGGCATAGCATTGGTGGATCATCATCAGTGAGAGATGATGAGAGTTTGGCAAGCTCCCCATCGTTCCCGAGTTACATGGCAAGCACTCAATCAGCAAAGGCCAAGACTCGTGCCACGCAAAGCCCCTTAGCTGTTGTGGAGAATTGGACTCCAGAAAAGGGATCCATTGGTTCTGTGAAAAAGCGGCTTTCGTACCCTCCTTCACAAGCCTTATCAAGACGCCATTCAGGCCCCCCGAAGATGGACACCTCCATAGCTGAACCTGAAACAAACGGGGAGATCAATTAGTTATTTTTTTCTTGCAAACTCTGCCTTAGCATGTTTGGTAAACTTGTGTTCATTGCAGAGAAGATACTTCAAAGTTCAAACACAGTTCTTATTGATTCATTCTTGAATGGCTTGGAGTTGGAGGGGGCTTGGTTCAAGATAAATTACAATATAGAATTCCCCATTTGTGTTTGGATTGTGTGATTATCATTCGTACATTAATCTCATTGTGTTTATACTGGAAATGTCTTGATATGTGAATGAAATAATGGCAGAAAATAAAGATGATAAGATTTATGTGGTTCGACAATGTGCTTATGTCCACAGGAGCAAAACTATTCTTTTATTAATTGTGATTGGTAGAACATCCAATGTTACAAGCATCATAGTAACATAGTTCTGTCCAACACCTATCATCCTTTAGTACATATGAAACATGCACAACATTGACGGTAGGGGAAAATTGGTAAAAGCGATAACAGAGACCAAGGAAAACAAAGAACAATACTTTGTGGCATTAATATGAGTCATATGAACTGTCAAAGGAAAGTCTGCTATGTCTATCTATATTGCTGCTATGGTTCAGAACATGTGTTGTTAGAAGTGAACTTCTATGATCAAACCACGAAAATCTCCACTTAGGAAAAGACTCGACTTCGAAAGCTGACAATATATGCTTTTCAAGACCATAAGCACTCTTTATATATACACGAGAGCCTTGAGTGAGAGGGAGCAACCAAACGTGTTATTCTGTGGTGGAATATGTGACGGCAGATGCCTCTTCTCCAACGCCTTCTGTTGTCGAAGTCTCGGTGATGGTCTTGATGGCTCCTTGGGGGGTTCCGTAAAGGGTTGAGAGTATTTGTCTATGGCATTCGTCGCAGAAAAGGAAATAGGAGAAGTGCCCCTCGTCTGGCAGTTTATGCACAAACGCGTTTGGTAGAATCCTGGAAACGTAATCAGTCATTGGTGGTGGGACGACGTGATCATCCATTCCCTGTTCAGCGGCCAGAAAGGTCATTGTTAAGAGTCCACATTGACAAAAATTAGAGAGAACATATGGGTTTATAAGGCCATAAGTTAGACTAGCTAATTGGTTGGATTCAATCTTTTTCACAAACCTGCCAGATGTGAATTGGTCCAAGAAAACCTGTCAATTCACATTTCGGTTGGCCATAGATGAACTTTAGCCAGGGAAAAATGCTGCTCGAGTCGCATTTCTCTTTCACTTGCAAATCCCTTAGGCTGAAACCCCAATTCGACACTTGCAACACGGTTTCCTCGATAAATGGCTTAACGTTCCACTGGCGGATAGACTCTTCCACATCCCGGTGCCAGAATTCTATGAAGCCCGGCTCCTCTATTAGTGCTCTATCCTGAAAAAGAAACGATATGGTTAAATACGTGCTAAGCTAAAGACAGACACCACCTAGCCAGTCACATTTAGACTGCAAAAATGAAAATGTTAATAGATGCTAACCTTTTCTCCCAATGATATAGACAGCCATTTATCGATTCTACCATGCTTTCCAGCTAGGAAGGTGCGGCGATACATGGAGCCAAGAAACATAGGAAACCTTCGTGCTAAACCATACATTAGTTTCCTTCTTCGCACCCACTTCTCCCAGGTTCCTGTCATTTCGTCGCGTGTCATGCTCGAATCATATGGATTAACTAGCGGGGCAAACATGGCAGCACCTGTGATTATACCAAACAAACATCATTAAGATTCAGTTGAAACTTGAAAGAGCTAGAAAATCTTGTTCTTTCGTGTATGTTAATGAAAATGACAACCGGTTTACCAGAAATTCGATTGGGAATGTACTTCAGTGCAGCCCAAGCATGCATGGCTCCACTGGAATAACCAATAATCCAAAACTTTCCATTTACACCTACAGAATCTGCTAAAAACGCCATATCCAGAGCTGATGAGTTAAGATTCCTTTCGGGATGAGAATCGCTCTCTCCAAAGCCAGGAAGATCGTAAGTTATCAGGCGAACACCAAACTCCTCCAGCAGCGACATCTTGACTCCCGGTATGCCTTTTCACATAAAAGCCAAATGAGTTGTTTGGTCAAATATCTCAGCAAAAATCCTAATTCCTAACCATTTTTAACAACGTTTCTACCTGCAAGCCTTGACGAGAGAAAACCATGAGGCATAATCAGCGAATATCGAGCTTTATCAGATGGAACCCCGAGCTCCTGATATGCCATGTATCTACCATCTGGAAGTAATATCCGGACAGCGCTAGGAGGATGGATGCATACTTTCTTCACTTCTGAGCCTCGAGTATCCCGTGTATTATTTACATTCAGCACTGCAAAGATCTTATGTTGTTAGGTTAAGGATTCCAGAATGACTAGCACAGCACAACAATCAATTAGTTCCTTAATATCTCAGAAATGGTATGTCAATCTCTTAGAGATATCTGGATAACCAAGATGTATCATCAGAAGCACTTGGAACAATCTTGAAATAACATATGTAAATTGTAATGAAACTATAATAGGGGAAATTAAAGCTGGAATCTTTATTATGAAGTTGCAGAACATAGAATCAAGAAAGCTGGGAATTTTGGGTTTTGTGGGCAAGAAAGCTAAATGGGAAAAGAATAAATCAAGAAAGTGGGAATACCGGCAAGGGCGAGGATGAAGACGAACAGAATGACCGACCAAGCGTGCACCGGATCCTTGTCCTCCGGCAAGTACTCGTTCACAAACCTCAATCTCTTCGAAACCTCGGACAAGGGGCCTTTGGTTTTCCGCACAATGTAGGAATCCTCGGTCAACAAGCTCTGCTGCGCCACCTCTTTGCACCCTCTCCCCAGCTCCATCAACAGCTCCCCCCAAGCCTTGCCGAAACCCTTAATTTGCTCCTTAAAGCTCTCCGTCTCCTTCGCCGCCTCGCTCTCCGGGAACAAGAACGCTGCCGCCGCCGCCGATCTCTTCCCCTCGAATGCCGGCGTCGACACTCCGATAGCATCGTCGTCGTCGTCGTCACCCCCGGCGGCCGGGAATCTTATCCCGGTGTCCTCCATTAAGCTGGCCAGCTCGTCTCGCCAGGAGTTGGACTCCATCACCTCCGCCATCTCTAAATCTAAAACTAAAACTAAAATGTAAATGTATCAACGGAAAAATGTATGATCTAGTTGGAGATTAGAGTTGATCGTTCATGGAGAGCGAGTAGGGAGGAGCATGGCTGCGGTGGAAAAGGGGAAAGAGACGCAGAAGTGAGGTGTAAAGAATTAAAGATTCGCCGGAATGTTAAAAGACATTCACTAGTGACTAGGATGCTAAGCTAAGCTAGCTACTCTCACTAACTACATTTTTAAGCCTTTATTTAACATTGCTATTACATCAACTACTTTAGTGGTCACCCAACACAAATCTTCAAGGTTTGTAGATTTTAGATAAGTTTAAAATTAGATTTGACTTCTCATTTACTGAATCAATGTCTTGAGACAAAAAGAAAAAAAAAAAAAAAGAGTTTTTTTCGTTATTAAAATACAATTCAACTAGTTGATTAATTCATAATTTAGCTTTGTTGGTAACGGTAAGGTGTAGAATTAAAGTTTACAGAAAGGTCAAATAGGCACATATACTAACATTGATTGTTCATCTAACACATGAATTAAAATATGGTCCATCTAAGCTATATACTCCCAATTATTTTTCATCTAACATTTTTAGCAAGTTTCTAACCAGTAACCCATCTAATTTACTTACATAGAAAAATAAAATAAAAACAAAATACTGACATGTTATTTTTTCATTTAACTTGCTGTTTTGTCACTTTTTTCATTAGTTGTGAAATAAGTATCTTACCGCTTTTGTGGGTTTTGAACCCATTTAGTAGCAGTGGTATTGGTTTTGATTTTGATTTTGGATGGTGCGTTTATGATGCTCTTCAGTACACACCTGAGATTGAGGAGCTTGGAAAAAATCTGGTTAATAGACTAAGGGATAACGATGATCTGTATATTGCTCTTCATTTGAAGTATAATAACTAACACGACTTTTGATTTAATGTTTGAGGTATAACTTAATTAACCGGTTTTCTTTGAGTGTAGATACAAAAAAGACATGCTTGTGTTTATTGGATGCAGCCACAATTTGAGTGAAGTAGAAACTAAGGAATTTTGCGTTATGAGGTATAATGTGTCGTACTGGAAAGAGAAATAGATAGACAGCGAAGAAATGTGACTGCCCTATGTCCCCGAGGGAAGCGGTCATGTTTCTGAAGGCGATGGGGTACCCCTCCACGACAAAAATATAAATTTTGCAAGGCAAATTTATGATAACAACAGTATGGATGAATTCCGCTTAGAATACCCCTACGTGTTTTCACACTCAACACTCGCAACAGAGAAGTAGTTGGAATCTTTTAAGCCATATCAGAAATCAACATAATCTGGAAATACGTAAAAACAAAAAAAAAAAAAAAGAATGTTTTTGTCGAAAAAAGTGATAAAAATAACAAGTTAGATGAAAAAAAATAACATGTCAGCATTTTGTTTTTATTTTATTTTTCCATGTAAACAAATTAGATTGGTTATTTGTTAGAAACTTGTTAAAAATGTTAAATGAAAAATAATTGGGAGTATAATAGTCTAAATGGACCATATTTTAATTCATGGTGCTAGTCTGCTAAATGAACAATCAATGTTAGTACATGAGCCTATTTAACACTTCTGCCATTAAAGTTATATGTAACTTACAGTTACCATTACCAGCAAAGCTAAATTATGAATTGATCAACTACATGCATTTAATCCACTAACCTCCTCAATTTAATTTTTTGGACAAGATGTATGAGTCTTCGAGATTAAGGTACAATCATTCAATAAAGAGTGATTTATAAATAAAAGTTTAAAGTTATCCTTATCACGGCAATTCTTTGTCACTTTTTAAAATGAGTCTCACTTCCACATCATCAAATTTACAAATTAATTCTCCACTATTTATTTTACAACCCTACAATTCTCTCTCCTTTTAAAAATGAATCTCACTTTCAATAAAATAAACATATATATATATACACACACATGAAGTTGAAATGAAGAGCAGATTTTGGGCAAGAGAATAAATTCTTCCCCAGGAGAAAGGAGTCAAAAGTAGAGAAATTATGAAGAGTGAGCAGTTCTATAAGCAAGAAGCGTAAAGCACACTCTTGTGTTTGTTCCTCTTTTAATGGTGGATTCTGAGCTTTTTCTCATGGATGAAACCGTCACTTCAGTAAAGCTGCCCATTGCTCCGACAAGAAACTTCCAATGACCATAATTAAACCTTAACCCATTCAAACTCGAATTATTATCAAACATCAAATTTTCTTGCAAATTTCATAAACTTTTAGAAATCTTAGGAAAAAATTGCATGTAAAATGTTGTTGCACTGTTTTTCATGGGTCCAGTCTATATATAACTTGGGATTCGATTTTAGTTTATTAATAATACATGGGATATTGGAATTGATGATTTTGGAAGGCATTGGGGCATTTTTGTTGCCGGCTTGGGCTTTCGGCGAGATGACGGTTTGTGGGAATTCGATGCGAGGGGAATGATGTTAGCACGTGAGCATCCGCGCCAAGATTGGACCGTTTGCTGGTTGGTCGGTCTCACATGGGACCAATTCCAATAAACAAAATGCTTCTTCTACCCATGTTTTTTTTTTTTTTTTTTTTTTTTTTTTTACAGTTTCGAGTTAATCAAATAATTAACTTCATAATTATAAAATTTTATGTTTAATTTTTTTATTTTTTACGATTCCACTCAGCTATAAGCAATTTGAAAGTGTCTGATTTTTTTCAAAAATCAAAGTAATATAAATTTGTCAATGACCTTGTGGTCTAGTGACATGAAGTGACTCTTTTAAATAGGAAGTCATGGGGACGATATTGACTCTTGAACAGATACTACATTTTTTTTTTTTGTGAAAACCACGAGATGGTCTGATTCTTTCTCTGTCCGCTTAACCGTCCAAGTTCACCCGACTAATCCCCGTTTGTTTTGGGAGGTCATGGGAGCTGACCCAAGGAGAATCGTCGCTTGGGGGAATTGTTGAACAGTTGTAACATAGTCAAAAATAAAATCTATATAATTCATTAATCACATTACTAGTCCATTAATCTAAGTGTCTAGACGGTTGGATTAATTAAATTACATTTAAAATCAATAAGTAACCCCAACAAACAAACAAAATAGAAACACATTTTAGCCATTTTAAAAAAAATTGACTCGTAAAAAGAATAGAAATGACTTCTTGAGTTATAAACAATATGAGATATTGGTGAAGATGAATTGGCTAACATATAAAACATTGACATACATTTGTCAGTTTATTTTTAGATGAGTCTAATCTAGATTTGTATTATTATTAGTATTTTCAATGAAAATGACAATAATATAAACAATTGAAATGTTTAACTCCTTTCAAAAAAAAAAAAATTTTGAAATGTTTAACTATTTAAGTTAAAAATATTATAGAGTTTAGAAATTATATTTTTATTTTGAATTGACTTTGTAATAATTAGTATTTACTATTTATTAGTGATTTGGTGTATTGCTTTTATTTATTATTAGTGTAATGTTTTTAATTATGAAATAATTAATATTTATGCAGATTAAGAAAAAAATATTTAATAGAATCACACGTTAAAGAGGAAGATCTACGGACTTAGTATTTAATAACAAGGCCCAACAATATCACACATTTGGATGGAGAAGTAAGAAAGTTACGACCCTTCTCTGTGGTTTTGGATCAATAGGCCCAGACTGTATTCTGATTTTCATAACTTAATCTTTGGACCTACTCAATAAGATATAAAAGCTTTATTCGTAAAGAAATGATTGAGTGAATAAAATATGATTTTTGTATCTGAAAGTCACGAGTATAAAGATCCTTTACTCGGGTATTATGCAATAGCTCCTATGTAGTTTGTGACGAGTTATTACACAGGAGCAAGATTTACCTAGCACATCCTAAGATAATAGATACATGTTTCTTTTACCACCTAAAAGAACTAATTGCTGGCTGATGTTGGGTTTTTATCTCCTTAGAGCATCTCTATCAGTAATTTTTGCCTAATTTTTTAGGAGATATTGGCTGAAGTGGAAGGGAGAGAAGGTTTAAGATCTCCGTGCAAGAACTGATTTTTAGTCTTTGAAGTGGCCCCCACCAAATATGAAAATTGATCGCGATTGGTTGCATGAGACACACCAATATCAACTAGCGGGCGCATTAAATTGTATTTATTTATTTGCTTTTAAGATTTTTTTTTTGTCCTTGTTTTTTCTCTTTTCTCTCGTCTTCTATTTCATAGTCACGCCCTGCAAAAACTATGCCTATTGATGATACTCTTAACCATTATTTACAGTTACGTTCCTTATTGGTATAATATAATGCAACATACATGATACATGATACACCTTATGGGTCGCAGAAATGTTTGTTTTACTAACTTACTCCGTAATTTTTTTACTCTCTACTTATACAATATGCTTTAATTAATTTCCAAAAAATCATGATTTTTAATTCTTTTTTTTCCATGTCAGTCCAATTTATGTTTTGAAATCGAGTGGAATTTAATTTAATGTTTTATTATTTAATGTGAGCTAATAAGTTGGTAGTGCATGCATATATGGCCCCAAAAGGGACGTGATATGAGGGCTGCAGAAGTGCAGAGCCATTATAGAATTGAAGCAACTACATACATACATGTAGTGGAGTTATATCAGATCAACTGCTTAATTGCTTTTAATTAATGATTCCTCTTTGATGATAGATGACAATTATATTGGACTGACATAATTGCAGAATTATTAATGAAACTAAGTTTTAAGGTTAATTTGCATGCCACTTCTGTTTCCTTAGTGGTGGGTAAGAATTCCAGCTGACATACACACTACAGTATGCATATATATATATATATATATATATATATATATATATATATATATATATATATATATATATATCTGCATGCATGCATGTGGTTTAATTATCAATTCAATAATATATATATGCATTAATGGTGATTGTATGATTAGTTGCAGTTGTGCTCAAGAAGCTTTCTGTTTTCATATGATATGATCCATATGGATTGCTGGAATATTACTTTAATTTGCATCCTCATGACAAACTCATCACTTCAATGATACAATAATGGAACATATATGGTTGCATATATGCCCTGTTAATTTTGCAACTTTAATTTTCCCTACTACTTTTAGATTAAAAGGATTGCACCTCAATTTCGAGAGTTCTCATTTACCACTGTCCTGAAATCCTGCCATGGTAGAGGACATAAATAAGAAGACGTGCATCAACAATCTATGATTTTTCA